ATTCATGCTAGTTGTAGCGGTAAGAAATTACTTTTGTTACATTCATGCTAGTTGTAGCGGTAAGAAATTACTTTTGTTACATTCATGCTAGTTGTAGCGGTAAGAAATTACTTTTGTTACATAATATATATATATATATATATATATATATATATATATATATATATATATATATAGAGAGAGAGAGAGAGAGAGAGAGCGGTAGAGAGAATGAACGTGAAAGAAAGAGAGAGGATGTGAGTAAATCTAGATTTTTTCAAGACATATACGCATGCCTCAACCACTTGAGCCACCTGTGGCATTCACGACCACTGCCCACCGACTAGTTAAGCTGCTTGCATGGTTAAATGATGAACTGAATTAAATTAGTTGTGACATCGATCAAGAAATTCATCTGTTTCAATTCAGTCACGTCACCTAAAGCCACCAAGTTTGAAACAAATTATTCAGAATATATGCAAACAATTATTTTCAAAAGAGCCACCAGGTGGATTTGGCGTTCGTTCAGAACAGGGACTCTCGAATGTTGAGAGAGGCCCGGGACATTTGATTTATTGCGGCACCCCATGTAGGTTTTTTCGAAATGCCGAGCTATTTAGTTATTGTACCGCTTCCAAGTTTCCCCTGGATGGCTTGCGCTAGACTTGGGGAAACTCGCACCACTTTGCTCGAGGTGGTGTGCATGTGATCTGCCTCTTCGTGGCGTGGAAGACCAGTATAGGGCATGCTCCCTGAAGCCAAAGATCACACTGTCCCTATCGGAAGACCCACTGAGCTAGGGGAGGGGGTAACGCAAAGCCCCCTTCCACTGGGAGGAAGATATTTTGCTCAACCCCCCCCCCCCCTTTTCATTTTATTTATTTATTTTGCAAAACACATGACTTCTAACGCAACGGAAGGAAGCGCTAACATGATTACGTGTTGCCGGTAATGGTATGAGGTAGTGAGCCCTAAACCCTTACCAGTGATTAAAAAGACGTGGCTCTGAGAAAGCCACCCCTAGGCGACCGTTTCGTCCCGACATGTCCAGCCCGAACAGCTCCCAGAGCGGTGGGTCGAGGCAACGCAACGTCTCACCCGGAGAGGAAGTTAAAGCCGTTCTGTCCGGTCCGAACAGCTCCCGGAAAAACGCGGGTTTGAGGCAACGAAACGCCTCCCCGGAGGGAAACAAATCGTTGGGAACCCAAAACTTGGCTCAGGACTCCCGGGATGGTGGGAGTTAGTAAGCCAGCAACTACTCCCGGAGAGGAGGCAAAGCCGTCCCGCACCAGGGAAAACGTACAGCTCCCGGGCGGTGGAGGTGGTAACGCAACGCCATCTCCGGAGCGGAGGCGAAGCTGTCCCACACCAAGGGGAAAACGGACAGCTCCCGGGCGGTGGAGGTGGCAACGCAACGCCATCTCCGGAGAGGAAGTAAAGCTGTTCCAAACCCCAAGTTTATTCATGGCCGATTTGCATGGCCGGAGTCCCCAGGGACTACTTGGCCATGTTTCACGGCCGGGGTCCTAAGAGATGGAATCTCGTACCCTTAGAATATTGATCTTTATTAGTTATTGTACCGAAAACTGCTCCGCTTTCCCCACTAACACAACAGTGACATTTAGACTGCAAAATAAATTAATTCAGCTTAAGTTTAAAATTTTTTTTAAAAAATTTTAAAAATACTTTCTGTAAATGTACGCAAGCCGCGCCACGCCTGTTAAAATGGGGATGGCAAAGGGAAGAAATGTGCTGGTTTAGCTATTTACCGAGAAAAAAAGAATACAATTTAATAAAAACAAATTTATCCGGTACATAAATTTCGTGGCGCGTGAAGCTACATTATTGTAGCCATCTAGACGCTAGATATGCTGCAAGAAGTCTAAACGACCTGGGGGTTATTCCCCCCGCCCGTTTCCTGGCATAATTTCAGCCGGTGCATGTTCCTTTCGCTCAACTAAATCACGTGTGTGGCTACGGTTACACACTGCGGTAAGAAAACTGTACGAAATGACGAAAAAACCATACCAAATAATTTTAACATTATGAAAAGCCAGTTTTCAGTTTCATAGCCCACTTTATTTTAGGGTCCACCAAAAAAAAAAAGAAACTCCAAACTTTATCAGAAAATCACTATATAACACAATACTAAACCCATTGTCCAAAATGCCGGAATTTTTAAATATGATAATTAACCAACCAATGAACTTTTAATAACACTCCATCATCGTATTAAAAATGAAAGCTAATTCTAGTAACAGCACACGAATGAACAAAGGGGAGAAAATCCTACACACATATAAACGTCATGGCGCAATTTACCCAACTTTCTATTTCTAGTTATTTCTTCTTTCGTCTTGTCTGCGGAGGAAGGCTCTTGGCCGAAACGTTCTTCTTTTATCGTCCTGTCCTTCTATTTCAAGCATCCTCACACCTTGTTCCTCTAATTTTTAAAAAAAAACCAACACGTTTAAAAAAAAAAAAAAAAAAAAAAAAAAAAAAAAACATTTTTCACCGGAGGCGTAACTAGGGTGTTTGGCGCCCGGGGGAAAGATTCGCGCCCGGGGGCAAGATTCGCGCCCGGGGACAAGATCAATTTTAAAGCGCCCTATTTTCTTTTTTTAAACTCTCAAACCCATTATTTTCATCAATAATATAATATCAAAGCACATTTTGGCGCTCCTAACTAGCTGGCGCCCGAGTACATCTGTCCCCCCTGCCCCCCTCGCTACGCCTCTGGTTTTTAACATTATTGCCGACAGTTACATTAAATATATATTTTATTTCATTTTGAAATAATTGCCCAATCTGTTAAAGCGTCCTCTGAAACTTTGAATCTCTTATGTTTTGGGAATGGAAGGCATAATATGCCATGTAGCTCTGCTACCCCGCCGACATGCCATGTAGCCCTGCTGTCCCCCCACATGCCATGTAGGGCCGTCTTATCGACATAGGAGGCCCTGGGCCCCTAACAACACATCACATCTGGGCCGTGAGAAGGGGAAGGGGGCACTCGCCCCTTGCTCAAACAGTGGGGGTGGGGCAGAAAGTTCCTGCTCACCACCAACTCCCCGTGAGGAATAAAAATGTAAAATAAAAATAAACATTCAATAAAGTTAAACCTCGATCAAACTAATTTTTTTATACAAAAAAAAATAGTATTCAAAATCAATAATAGCATTATTAGAAATAAACTATCAATAATCATAGAGGATGATAAATTATCATTATTGACAGATAGATAAAATAAATTATTTAATATATAAATCAACATAATCTTTTGTATAATTTTTTTGCAGAGAATTGTTCTATTAATTGGTTTAATGTCAATGGACTTAAGCATGTCATTTTCCATGCACATAAGTGAAAGCCAGTTCAAACGTTTTTGTCCCATTGTACTGCGAAGCTGATTCTCATCTTAGCGGGTTGTTCGCAAATGACGTCACGCCCAAGGGGGGGGGGTCGAGAATTTATGACACTTTGTAACTCGGGGGAAGGGGGGGGGGTAAAAAATTAGTGACGTCACGATATATTTATTTATTATTTTTAAATCTAAAATTTTCTTATTTTGAAAAATCTTTAATAAATTTATGACACTTTGTAACTCGGGGGAAGGGGGGGGGGTAAAAAATTAGTGACGTCACGATATATTTATTTATTATTTTTAAATCTAAAATTTTCTTATATTGAAAAATCTTTAATCAATCAATGTAAAAACTTTCATTAGAGGTTAAAATTGCATCTGTTATTATAGGTACCGTGAACCTCAGTCATGCACACCTTCTGCGCATGTCACAAAATGTCTCAAAAACTGTCGTGGCCGTTTTACTTTCGGCTTGTGGATGACGGCATTGTTTCGCGTCACAGTTTTCTAGTAATACGACATCTTAATCCATTATGTGGAAATGTGAAAGAATAAAATCAAATGTTAGTTTAGTTACGAAAATTGTAAATATGAACGGGGGGAAGGGGGGGAGGGTAAATAATTTGTGACACTTTTTGAAAGTAGGAACGGGGGTCTAAAAAGGTCATTTTTAGCGTGACGTAATTTTCACACGACCCCTTAAATTTTTTTTCGATTCATATCTGGGAAAAGAAATCGTGTTGACGAGAGTTATTCCCATTGAAAACGTTTTAAAATTGTCGAACTTTGATTCGCACTTATAATATCAATTTTGGAATGTGCTGATATATATATCGTGAGTTAAAATTGGGAAATTGGCAATTTTAAATCCAATTAAATTGTCAAATCTTTCAATATTCATTAAAAACATGTAAAGCATGATGCCTTTATAAGAGTGTGTCTACTAAAGCGTGGGGCCTCAACTGGGCCGATGCCTTAAGACAGCACTGATGCCATGTAGCCCTGCTGTCCCCCCCCCCCCAAACAGGCCGTGTAGCCCTGCTGTCCCCTCCCCCCCCCAATTATCCAAATAGCTCTGCTGTCCCCCAAAGGCCATGAAGCCCAGCTGCCCCTCCCCCCCCCCACATACAACATGTAGCCCTGCTGTCCCAACCACATGCCATGAAACCCGGCTGTCCCCCGACCACCNCCCCCAAAGGCCATGAAGCCCCGCTGCCCCCCCCCCCCCCCACATACAACATGTAGCCCTGCTGTCCCAACCACATGCCATGAAACCCGGCTGTCCCCCGACCACCCCCTCCCCTCCTTTATACGACCGGGTCAGTATCCACGTACCGGCATCGTGTTACAAAATGATGTCAATTGAGACATGCGCAGAAGGATTTAACATGTTAGGTGGGGAAAAAAAAGAAAAAAAAAAAGGGGGGTGGTTCGGTTACATGTGGGCTTTATTACCCATGCATCCAATCAAAGATCACAAGAGCATCACAAGAGCATCACAAGAGCATCACAAGAGCATCACAAGAGCATCACAAGAGCATCACAAGAGCATCACAAGAGCATCACAAGCGCATCACATTTACTAGAGGCGACATTAACAGATTAGCCAAAAACATTTCCAGATTCATTCATGCTAAAGTAATTTTTATTTTTAAAAGTTTCAGTTAATGACGTCATTTGGGCACTGCGCAGAGTCAAACGCGATTGTCATTGAGGGCGCTCCCTCCAGGGGCGTCAAAGAATATGACGTCGGTCTGGAGTCACTAGGCGAACCAACGAATGACTTTTTGAAAGTGTATGGAAACGAAGGTGGGAGGGTTTTTTTAAAAAACGTTTTATTACTGGCATGTTCTTGTCTATTTGAGTGGACAAATTAATTCATCCATTTTTGGTGCATTTTGTGTGTGCTTGATATTTGTGTGCTGATTTTTAAATTTTAAAATAAACATGAAGGATTCAAACGATTCAATGTTGACAAAAAGTCCCTATTTCTTATAGGAGTAACTCACTTAGACTGAGGCAACCTAACTTAGACCCAGGAAACCTCACTTAGACAGGGGCAACCTAACTTAGACCCAGGCAACCTCACTGAGACTCAGGCAAACTCAATTAGACTCAGACCCACCTTGCATAGATTCAGACGATCACACAGCCATGAAAATCGGGTCATTCCTGATTTATTCATGAGCCTCGTTTGCCAGACTCGCATAATTGTGCAATAATCGCAACAGTTGCGCGGAGCAGACCGCTCAGCGCAATGACCTCGCCCCCCCCCCCCCCCCCCCCCCCCCCCAGCCATGAAAGAAAAAGACGAAGAAAAGTTATATCGTACGATTACTGGGGTGATCTTTTATAACAAACCAGTGTTTAGAGCCTAAAGCACGCATAGCTCAAAGACATGATGGAAATGAGCAAACAAAAATATGTTGTTTACGTGTAAAAAGCTATTTGGTGTGCACATCTCAATGTCACTTAACGAACTTAGAGTTTAAATAGACGAGAACGTTAGAAATATTCTTAACATACACTGTACACACATGCATACACTATACACACCTGCATACACTGAACACGCATACATACACTTTACACACATGCATTACACTGTACACAAAGACATACACTTTACACGCCTATATACTCTGTACACAAACATACACTGAACACACATAATATTGTATCAATCATCAATAAAATTGTTTGTTGAAAGACGTATACATAAGAAGTAAAACTGATAGATTTCTAAAGGTGGCTCCCAGTCACTCAATAATTTTGGCTTTGGCCCTACCTACTTGTGTGAGAATGCCTCACTACCAACTAGTGTGAGAATGCCTCACTACCAACTAGTGTGAGAATACCTCACTACCAACTAGTGTGAGAATACCTCACTACCTACTTCTTTGAGAAGACCTAAATACTTAGTTGTTTGAGAAGACCTCACTACCTACTTGTGTGAGCAGACCTCATTATAAGCAACGTGTGTGAGAAGACCTCACTGCCTACGTGTGTGAGATGACCTCACTACCTACTTGTGTGAGCAGACCTCATTATAAGCTACGTGTGTGAGAAGACCTCACTGCCTACGTGTGTGAGAAGACCTCACTGCCTACGTGTGTGAGCAGACCTCACTAGATACTTGTCTGCGGTGACATTTCAAAATTGAAACATGTCAAATCTAGCCACAGAGAGGCCTTATTTGAATGAAACATGTCAAATCTAGCCACAGAGATGCCTTATTTGAATGAAACATGTCAAATCTAGCCACAGAGAGGCCTTATTTGAATGAAACATGTCAAATCTAGCCACAGAGAGGCCTTATTTGAATGAAACATGTCAAATCTAGCCACAGAGAGGCCTTATTTGAATGAAACATGTCAAATCTAGCCACAGAGAGGCCTTATTTGAATGAAACATGTCAAATCTAGCCACAGAGAGGCCTTATTTGAATGAAACATGTCAAATCTAGCCACAGAGAGGCCTTATTTGAATGAAACATGTCAAATCTAGCCACAGAGAGGCCTTATTTGAATGAAACATGTCAAATCTAGCCACAGAGAGGCCTTATTTGAAGAGCACACACTTTTGTACGATAAGAGGATCTGCACGGTAGTGACTTTGAGCCTCGTCTTAATGGGATCATCGCAGAAAAGAAACATGTTGATACTTCTCGCTGATGGGAAAAGACGACTGTGCAATTCAAATGTCTTTGCATCTTATAAGACCGCACTTTGGAATCTATATTAAATCAATGTTATCAATGTCATCTATGCATCTATGCCATTAATGTCATCTTTGTCATCAATTTCATCTATGTCATCAAAATCATCGCTGCCATCTATGTCATCTATGGCATCAAAATCTTCTCTGCTATCTATGTCATCTATGACATCAATGCCATCTCTTCCATCTTGTCGTCTATGTCATCAATATGATCTCTGACATCAATATCATCTATGTCATCAATGTCATCTTTGTCATCGATGTTATCTATGTTATCTATGTTATCTATGTTATCTATGTTATCTATGTTATCTATGTCATCTATGTCAATGTCAGCTGTGTCAGAGAAGCACGCATTTATAGCTTCATTGTGTATTTTGACAAGGCAAAATGTGTGTTTACATGTATTTTTAATACAATAAAACTATGGGATATTCTCCAATAATACAAAGAAGCAACCTTGAATGTGTCAATATCTATCCCTCCCCCATCTCCCCCCCCCCCCCCCCCCCCAGCATGACAAGATTTTCTAACTTCACTTGTCAAAAACATTTGACCGACCACTGACTTAGGCGGCCATCTAATAGACTCATCTATGCATTTGGACACGCCACCTTTTCATTTGGATACGCCCACTTTTCATTTGGACACGCCCACTTTTCATTTCGACACGCCTACTTTTCATTTGGGTGCGCCTACTTTTCCTATATTTCTCTGTTGCCAATTCATTAAGTTTTTTTTTTTTAATCTAAAAAAACACACATTTTTTCCGTCGATCCTCAGGTTCTTCCTTAGTCAAGCCCTTAAATGGTGACGTCACTGTGACGGTTGAAAACGACATGGTTATGTCTATTGATAGGGTCAGGGAGCTATACACCAGGTTAGCTGTTTGAAAATAAGTGTGGGACGGGGCCAAAAGCTTAGCCAGCCTCCAGCCCTAGTCTGATTTTTTTTTTTTAAATCAACAATTACAATACATTTTCAAATATTTTAAAAATAATTTTACTTGTCTATCTGTCAGCCAATCGTCCAAGCCTCAGAGACTAAGTAAACGTAAAGCTACCAGACCCGAACAGTACAGGTGGCCCAACGCCATCATACCTTACGATTTTGTGGAGAAGGACTTCAGTAAGTTGGCGAATACCCCGATGTGAGACTGACCATCTTGAAGGTCTCCATGGTGTAGGACCTCAAACCGCATTGACACGTTTATAACACGCTCTCTTTTGATATACCCACGGCCATGCCGAGACAAAGTGGAGCCCCGGGCGAAGACTGGAAAGGCGCCCACCAATATATATATATACAAAGTGCCACCAGGCAGTGGCGTAGCGAGGGTGTTTGGCGCCCGGGGACAAGATTCACGCCCGGGGACGAGATCCATTTTTAGCGCCCCTTTTTCTTTTTTTTCAACTCTCAAACCCATTATTTTCATCAATAAAATAATATCAAAGCACATCTTAACGCCCCTAACTAGCTGGCGCCCGGGGACATCTGTCCCCCCCTGCCCCCACCACGCTACGCCTCTGCCACCTGGGGCAGATGAGTAAAAAGACCATTTTGACGCCCCTAACTAGCTGGCGCCCGGGGACATCTGTCCCCCCCTGCCCCCACCACGCTACGCCTCTGCCACCAGGGGCGGATGAGTAAAAAGACCATTTTGACGCCCCTTGTCTTTGTATGGCGTTTCATAGTGTCATTCACTACAAACGTCTTATCTAAAGACGATTTACGCGCCTTTTGATGTTGGCGCCTGTGGCAAGTGCTTCCTTCACCCCCGCCCTTCCCCCCACCCCCTCCCTTTTTTTTTGCACGACCCTGGATACACATGATCCTTGTGACTAGGCCAGAGATATATGTTATGCAAACACTCGTCCAAACTGAAATATCCGTACCATCTTAGAACACACAATGCTCCATTGTTGTTCTCATCCCACCTAACACCCCATTACAGTTTAAAAAGGAATAAACAGAGGCTAATCTCACAGTTGATTTCGTTCACATTTCAAAAGTGAAAACAAACACAAACAAACCTGGCGCCTGCCGCCTGTCTACGAGGATATTAGAACGGCAACTTGTGTGTGTGTGGCCACGCGTGTGGTCGTGTGTGTGCGGCCCTGTGTGTGGCCACGCGTGTGGTCGTGTGTGTGACCCTGGCTGTGTGACCCTGGCTGTGTGACTCCTGGCTGTGTGACCCTGGCTGTGTGACCCTGGCTGTGTGACCCTGGCTGTGTGACCCTGGCTGTGTGACCCCTGGCTGTGTGACCCTGGCTGTGTGACCCTGGCTGGGTGGCCCTGGCAGTGTGTGGCCACGCGTGTGGTCGTGTGCGTGCCCCTGGCTGTGTGGCCCTGGCTGTGTGACTCCTGGCTGTGTGACCCTGGCTGTGTGACCCTGGCTGTGTGACCCTGGCTGTGTGACCCTGGCTGTGTGACCCCTGGCTGTGTGACCCTGGCTGTGTGACCCTGGCTGTGTGGCCCTGGCTGTGTCCAGGTTTAATGTCGCAGCGACCACGAAAAAACCTTGTAGTTCGACGAAAATGCCGCCCCTCAGTATGTAGAGGGAAAGCGCCGCCCAGGGCGGACCACCCCTGCCGCCCCCATTACGCTACGCCACTGGCTGTGTCCCTTCGTAGGGCCCTTCGTATGGCCCTGCATGTGGACCTGCGTGTGTCCCTGTGTGTGTCCGTGTGTGTGGCCCTGTGTATGTACCTGTGTATGTGGCTCTGTGTGGTTCTGTGTGTGGTTCTGCGTATGTGCCTGTGTGTGGCCCTGCGTGTGGCCCTGTGTGTGGCCTTTCTCGTGGCATCATTGAACCATCCCTCTCCGTGGCACTGTAAAATGCAGCGACGTATTGTAAAAAAATTCCTTCTCAAGCATTTCATTACATGATATAATATCACCTTCTACTCTGCCCCAGACTCTTCCGAAGTGAAACAAATCAAAGACGCCATGCAGACGTGGATGAACCGGACATGCCTGGTGTTTAGACCAGCTGTGGCCAGTGACTGGAACAGGATCAGATTCAAGAACGGAACTGGGTCAGTGACCTACTCATATTTTTTGTCTCTGTTACTAAGCGTTAGTTCAAAAAGTGGCTTAACGATCGCAGAGAAACCCACGAAGGTATCAGGATCCCCTCAGTGCTGAGAGGGCTCCGAAAAATCTTGTCATCACAGGGTTTGTGACACTCAAAGACAGTTTCGTGTGTGTGTGTAGTGTGTTTGTGTGTGTTGAATTGGGGGTATAGACTATAGATCTAGAGTAGTTCAACCAGTTTGTCTTAAATGGCATCACTTTCTTCTATGGCATGGAAAACCCAACAGTGGCCAGATGACAATGTCTCCTTTTGGGAACACCGAAAAGTAAATTGACAAAATTAAATAGTTTGACGAAGAAACTAAAGACGAAAACGATTGTTCCATTGAGCTGTCGTGGAAAGTTTCACCCGGGGAGGGGAGCAGGTGATCACATCCTTTGGGTGTTAGGTTATATATAAACTAGGGGGTGGGGGGTCAGTAGGTTATATATAAACGAAGGGTTGGTGGTCAGTAGGTTATATATAAACGAAGGGGTGGGGGGGGGTCCGTAATTATCTATAAATAAAAAGCGATTCCTAAAATTATTTTTTGCTGTTTAAATTCTTTTTTTTTTTTGCGATTAAAACGTTTGAAATAATGTGTAAATGACCTTTCAGTTGTAACTCACAAGTTGGAAGAGTGGGAGGGGATAATTATCTATAAATAAAAAGTGATTCCTAAAATTATTTTTTGCTGTTTAAATTCTTTTTTTTTTTTGCGATTAAAACGTTTGAAATAATGTGTAAATGACCTTTCAGTTGTAACTCACAAGTTGGAAGAGTGGGAGGGGCCCAGCCAATCAATCTTCAGTCGGGAATGTGTAGAACGGTAGGTGAAAGGCCACGCTAAGGAAAGTGGAGTCGGCGATAAATAAGAATGTAACCCAATTTAATTACGTACCAAAAGAATAATCTTTGCTTGATGTTTTTTTATACTGATGTTTTACCAATTCACCCCCCCCCCCTTTTCCCTCATGCCCCACTCTGGCCGTTGCCAGTGGTTCTTATACCTACACGAACTCGGACACGCCATTGGACTTGTTCATGAACACCAACTCCCGGAGCGGGACGAATACATCAAAGTGAACCTCAACAACGTCTCCCCGGAGATGAGAAGATGGTTTGATAAGTACACGGCGGAGCAGATCAACAACTACGGTGTGCCCTACGAGTACTCCTCTGTCATGCACTACGGGATTTCGGTAATTAGGCTTACACTTCTGCTTGATTTGTTAACAAGGGCAGAAGTCAGAAAAAAAAAAAAAACCAGCTAAAAGAACAAAATAACACAAAAACACTAAGTTTTACTTTTAATAAATTCAAGAGACGTACACCAGATGGGCCTTTTAAATGTGGGAATATATATTTTTTATCATTCAAATTTTCTCAAATTTTCGCACCAATCTATTTTAACTTTATTTATATTTATGTAAATTATAAAATAATTTCAAATTAAAGCTACACCAGTGTAATTTTAAATCCTTTATATATTAATTTCGCTTTTAATCGTGTGTTTGTGGCAAAATCTTCGTAAGGCTGAATGCTACAATTTACGTCACCCTATCGAGCTGAAAACTTGGCGCAAAGACTCGATGCCGATGACAAAACTTTCTTTCAAATTTTCAGCCCAATCCCCACCACTACCTCCCTCCCCCCCTTTTACGTATTAAAATTCCAGATAGGTGCGCTTAATGGGATTCTAAAAAAATATCGCAAATGCGTTTGGTGCGCAATATTTTCTTTTTGTTTACGGAAATAGTTGGTGTAATATATCTGCTGTGCAAAAGCGGGCGGTGCATTAACATATTAATATATTTCAGGGGGCGTGAAACTAAAAATGTTCGGTTGCGAGCCTCGGGGGAGCGGGGAGCACTAATTGGGATTCTTATAAAGTGCGTGACTTGAACTTGAATGCATGTATTGTCACATTTTCAGCATTACACCCAAATAATTATATTAACTGCACTTGTGTTCGTGTTTCTTTCTTGCAAAATCTTTGGAAGGCTAATTGGCCCATTTCTCGTCATTCTATCGAGCTGACATTTGGCACATAGACTCGTTACCGATGACAACACATTCTTTCAAATTTTCAGCCCTACCCCCAAATAATTATATTAACTGCAAATTTTTTAGCGTTTCTTTCTTGAAAAATCTTTGGAAGGCTAATAGACCCATTTCTCGTCATCCTATCGAGCTGAAACTTGACACATAGACTGTTACCATTGACAACGCATTCTATAAAATTTTCAGCGCCAGCCCGCAAGCCTCATCTTAAGAACTGTAGCCATCGCTAAGTCGTCCGAAAATGCATGCAATGTAAACGATTTAAAAGAAAAAAAACCTTTTTTTTGTTGTTGTTGTTGTTGGGGGTTGTTTAGTTTCAAGACAATTCTATAAAATCAGCCAAACTTGATTTTTTAATCAAACTTGAGTAGCCTAACGATGTCCAATTGTTCAGGCTTTCGCTCACGATCAAAAGGCTCAGACCATTTTACTACACGATGAGACCCGCGAACATGAAGTTGGTGAAGTTTGGTTCAGAGGTCTGGCCTTTTCTGACGTCAAGGTGGCCAATCTCATGTACAGGTGCCACAGTGAGTTGCTTCTTGCTACGCACGAATTACAATCCTTGAATGGTCTACCTTAGTTGTCTGTACCTGCAGTGTGGTCCTCTCTGAGCAAGTTGTGTTCCCCTGCACGTGCAACCTTCAATGTAAATTGTCTGCCCCTGCATTTTAAAATGTAAGAGAGCTGCTTCAGAGTAAACTGCCTGCCTCCACATGTGCAACTATCAGACTTCTGAGTAAATTGCCTGCCTCCACATGTGCAACTATCAGACTTCTGAGGAAATTGTCGCACCTGCATGTATAATTACCAGAGAGCTGCTTCAGAGTAAGTTGTTTGCCCCTACATTTGCAATCATCAGAGAGCTGCTTTAGAGTACGTTGTCTACCCCTGCATGTGCAGCTATCAGAGACCTGTTTCATTGTAAGTTGTCTGCCCCTGCATGTGCAACTATATGAGAGATAATTCATAGTAAGTTGTCTGCCCCTGCATGTGCAACTATATGAGAGATAATTCAGAGTAAGTTTTCTGCCCCTGCATGTGCAACTATCAGAGAGCAACTGCTTCAGAGTAAGTTTTCTGCCCTTGCATATGAAAGTATCAGAGAGCAACTTCAGAGTAAGTTGTCTGCCCCTGCATGCACAACTATATGAGAGCAACTTCAGAGTAAGTTGTCCACCCCTGCATGTGCAACTATCAGACAGCAACTGCTTCAGAGTAAGTTGTCTGCTCTTGCATATGAAACTATCAGAGTGTTGCTTCAGAGTAAGTTGTCTGCCCTTACATTTGCAACTATATGAGAGCTGCTTCTGAGTAAGTTGTCTGACCCTGCCTGTGCAAATATCAGAGTGGTGCTTCAACTTAAATGGACGTCATCGTTTACTTTGACTGTTTCTAGCACCTTATCTCTTTGACTGTTTCTAGTACCTTATCTCTTTGACTGTTTCTAGCACCATATCTCTTTGACTGTTTCAAGCACCTTATCTCTTTGACTGTTTCTAGTACCTTATCTCTTATTGGACACAAGCCGGGCAGCTGGCCAGCAGCTGGGTTTGGACAAAGGCTTAGTTGTGCAATATCGGCAAATTTCTATAGGGTTTAAGCGTATATAGCTGGGGCACCAGTGTGGACTTTGACCAGGGCTACAAAAGACCGCACTCCTTCTCTGGTGGTCAAACTTCACAAGAAGTTGTTTGTTCTGTTAAATATAAAATATTCATTCATGTTTTTATTTTCTAATTTTTAATGAATCAATTATTTAACACATTCCAACAAAAAAAAAAGTAAAAATTTAATATCAATAGTTGTGGAAAAGTTTTTTTTTTTTTTTTTTTTTTTTTTTGGGGGGTTTGAGGGGTAATGTGCTAACAGTCCCCCATTTAAAAGTAATAATTCCAGAATGAATCGGATGAAATAATGTTTACTTTCCCCAATACAGTGTACCATTTTTGTTTTAACAGGGATAATTTCTTTCATTTGAAAGCCAATTTAGATAACTCCATGCACCTGTACTCAATATTGTCTTCTCATAGAAAACTGCCCCCCTGATCCCAAGTGTAAGGAACCAGGCTACCAAAACAAGACTTGTCACTGTGTGTGCCCACCTGACGTAGACTGCACCAAGGAAGGAAATCTGCCCCGTAAAGGGGGCGGTTGGGGAATACCCTCAGGTTTGATGCGTCGCTGTTTTTTTTTTTTAAATCATCATTTAATACTCAATGGCATGTGGGTAACATGTGGGTGGCACGTGGGTAGCATGTGGGTAACATGTGGGTGGCATGTGGGTGGCACGTGGGTAGCATGTGGGTGGCATGTGGGTGGCACGTGGGTGGCACGTGGGTAGCATGTGGGTGGCATGTGGGTAGCATGTGGGTAGCATGTGGGTGGCATGTGGGTAGAATGTGGGTGGCATGTGGGTAGCATGTGGGTGGCATGTGGGTGGCATGTTGGTGTCATGTGGAGGTGGCACGTGGGTAGCACGTGGGTAGCATGTGGGTGGCACGTGGGTGGCACGTGGGTAGCATGTGGGTGGCATGTGGGTAGCATGTGGGTAGCATGTGGGTGGCATGTGGGTAGCATGTGGGTGGCATGTGGGTAGCATGTGGGTAGCATGTAGGTGGCATGTGGGTAACATGTGGGTAGCATGGGCCATTGTTGTTTAGCCTCAATAACACTTAAGAGCATGACTGTTTCACTTCATGCTTACTTCTTTCTTTCTTTCTACGCTTCAAGTCAGATCATTAATGTGATGTCAGATTTAATTGAATGTTTATGGTGTAGGAATGTCTGACCAGATAGAAACACTATAACGTGAGGTCATATTTTTTTATTTGACCTTTTAGAATGTAGGAATGTCTGGCCGGATACAACCTGTGCAGAGTGGGCAAGTGCAGGGGAATGCACCGCCAACCCTGTGTGGATGAAGGAGAACTGTCGAAGGTCTTGCAAGAAATGCATTGGAGGTTAGTGGATGTGAAATTTTTATAAGCCTTAGCTATAGTTGATTGCCTCTTCTGGAGTGGTATGGAATAATTTTAAATGGCAAATACATGACTGTGAAGTTAAGAGACACTGGAGTTGAGAATGGTTTTGTGACCCATTAATAATGATTTGAGATAATTGTTTGAATTAGACATGAGTGATGTCTAACACAAGTAGCGATGAATGACTTGCAGTCATTGGATCTCCATTTGTTTCAGCTTGTAGCAATGTATGGCCTGAAGAAGATTGCAAACGTTGGGCACAAAACGGAGAGTGTGTCCGAAACAAGAAGTGGATGGAGGACAGCTGCCAAAAGTCATGTAATGCATGCATAGAAGGTGAAGAACTAACACTATAAAATTGATAAATATACATTCATGAAGTGAGAACTGCTATTGCTCAAAATAAAATGTTTATAAAAAAAAGTTATGTTCAACAATTATGACAAACTAATTTAAGTTTGTAAAAAAATTATGGAATATTTATGAAAACTAAGAAACTAATTGTTTTTCAAAGTAAGAAGTAAACATTCTCACCTCTCTTTTTAATTACTTACATGTTCAAAAACATGTCATCTGTCATTCATCCATGGTACATGCATATGACGCAGCGGCATGTTAGGGAAAAAAAACACATATTTTCAAGACTATAGGGAAGCATGCTTGGGAAAAATTTCACCACTATCTTGTTATGTATGGCATTTCAGCATAAGATAGAGACAGAGGTTTGCAATTAAAGCCTTTATCTGAGCTACAAATTTAATCACCATCATTCTTTTTTTTTTTTTTCTTTTAAATCGTAATAAATCTTTCGACAGCAGCTGCCCCAACAACAACAACAAAGTCCACTATCGTATGGGATTTCGAAAAAGAAGCATCTTCAAAACCTGAGGCGGTTTCCCCAAATCCTGAATATTTTACAGTTCAGGATGAGTTCAGTGGCTCTTCCCGTTTAACTTTTGAAAATTCCCAACCATCTGACGAGCCTTTGCCAACTACTAGAAAAACAGACACGACGACAACAAAAATGATTGCGTCTGCAACTACACAGTTTTTTTCGCCCACAACGAGCAAAGCACCAGGTAAGAAAAATTATTAAAAAAAATTATCTTCTTATAATACACAGATCTAAAATTTAATTATGAAGATTGAAATCCTAAAATCTGAAAAGGAAAGTTACCCACTGAAAATCATGAAGTGGCCAAAGAATATTTGCATCAACAATACTGTCCTATCAGAAGTCACAATTTATATTTCAACATCATTTCGACGTTGAAATGACATGCAATGAGATGACATACCATAAAATGAGATGAAATGCCATACAATGAGATGACATGCCATAAAATGAGATGACATGCCATAAAATGAGATGACATGCCATAAAATGAGATGACATACCATAAAATGAGATGATATGCCATAAAATGAGATGAAATGACATAAAATGAGATGACATGCCATAAAATGAGATGACATGCCATAAAATGAGATGACATGGCATAAAATGAGATGACATGGCATAAAATGAGATGACATGCCATACAATGAGATGACATGCCATAAAATGAGATGACATGCCATAAAATGAGATGACATGCCATACAATGAGATGACATGCCATAAAATGAGATGACATGCCATAAAATGAGATGACATGCCATACAATGAGATGACATGCCATAAAATGAGATGACATGCCATACAATGAGATGACATGCCATAAAATGAGATGACATGCCATAAAATGAGATGACATGCCATAAAATGAGATGACATGCCATACAATGAGATGACATGCCATACAATGAGATGACATGCCATACAATGAGATGACATGCCATACAATGAGATGACATGCCATAAAATGAGATGACATGCCATAAAATGAGATGACATGCCATACAATGAGATGACATGCCATACAATGAGATGACATGCCATAAAATGAGATGACATGCCATAAAATGAGATGACATGCCATAAAATGAGATGACATGCCATAAAATGAGATGACATGCCATACAATGAGATGACATGCCATAAAATGAGATGACATGCCATAAAATGAGATGACATGCCATAAAATGAGATGACATGCCATACAATGAGATGACATGCCATACAATGAGATGACATGCTTCTCTTTGTGGTGCCTCAAATAAAGGGAAATTGCCATTAAATTTATTTGATGAGTTAATACATTTGCTAGGGGACGAGTCAATAATTTATTTCACCAGAGGACAGTTCTGTACATTCACATATTTTTTTTTGGTCAATGAAATTGTTATATGAATCTTAGAGATATGAATCTTAGAGATATGAATCTTAGAGTTATGAATCCTAGAGATATGAATCTTATATATATGAATCTTAGAGATGTGAATCTTAGAGATATAAATCTTAGAGAATAATACATTTGGGAAATCATTCATGAAACGTTCCGGTCTCGTGCCACCTGCCTGGGCCAGGCTTGAAATGAAATTACTTGGACTTAATGGTTGGGCCAATGAGAACAACTTATGTTATTGGGCACCTCATCGATAATTTTTACTTTAAAAATATGAGATGAGAAGATTTAAAAATTAGTAAACTACCATTTCTTTCATAGTGTGTTCTATATATAATAAACATTCTATAACCTTGTAAGACAGTGTTCATGAACATCTACTATCCCTTCAGAAAAACTGCCTTCCTAAACTTTCACACCAACCTTTATACTTCTGTACCAATTAAAAAATGGTCTTCTACTAAGTTATAACATCACTGCATGCAAACAGCCGGGACTTCTACTAAGTGAAAACATCACTGCATGCAAATAACTGGGGCTTCTACCAAGTGAAAACATCACTGCATGCAAATAAAACAAGAAGAAATTGTGCATGGCATCTCACTTATGTTTCATCCGTTCAAACTTCAAACCCACAGAGACTAACACCAATCACTCGCCCCAACTCATTTTATCCCTTATTTTTATTTGACGATCCAGCTACTACTTGTAACAACAGGTGGGCAGACAAAAGCTGCAATGCCTGGGCTTCCAGGGGAGATTGTGTGTACAACCCATCCTGGATGAAGAAGCACTGTGCCAAGTCTTGTGCTGTGTGCTGACAAGGCGGAACATGGACTTATTGATAGATTGATGTAGGCCTATGGTTCAAATGAGACAAGAGTCCATTCCTAGAGACCCTACTGAATTATAAGTTGGTGGGTTTTGGAAGAAAATAAAAATGAGGGGGAAAGGGAAAGGGGGGGGGGGGGGTGCGCTTTTTTAGATTTTAATTTTTTCCCTTTGTTTTTTTTAAAAAAAAAAAAAAAAGAAAAAAAAGAAAAGATGAAAAAGAAAAAAAATAATATTATTAAATTATAAATTAACTCAAATTTTGAAATTGTTTTAATATAAATGATTAGTTTGTTGTTTAACTATTATTTTAATAGACATTCTTATTTTTTTTAATGTGAACAATTCTTGTGTAGCTTTTAGTATGTTTAAACATAAATTCATATTAAATTGTTATGTTTTAATATAATTTATTATATTGCTTTTTAAACTATGTATTATTTTAAAAGAAATTCTTATTAACTTATGACACTATAATTATATTATTGTAGCACTATCTATGTCTGTAAATAGAAATTCCTATAATATTGTGAAACTATTTACTTNTTTGCCAGGCAAAATAAAAAAGTTAAAAAAAAAAAAAAAAGAGTATGTCAGTAAAAAGCTCAAGGTGTTTATTTATATCACAATCTTTATTGTTTACAATTTGGATACATCAGAACATCATATAGTATTGCATTATGTATAAATACAGATTAATAATATGTACTCTGAGCATAATCTTAAGGAGCGCATGAATGTGTACAAGGCTAAATATAATATTGTGTATGGGGTTCTTCGTATCTACTGACAGGTAATATATATTTTATCTAAAAAAAATTTGATATCACATGATGAACATCTTGCCATGGAGCAGTCACACTAAATGTTGAACAAATAATGAATGCTCCATGGAGCAGTCACACTAAATGTTGAACAAATAATGAATGCTCCATGGCGACTTTACATATTGTTACAGTGGTTCTAAAATTATTTTTTTTTGGTCATTTAATGCCCCGCAAAAAGTCAGTCTCATAATATGACAGAAATAATATTTTAAAAATACAATCATTTCATTTAAAAAGGATGTTTGTAACACTCAAACCCCGACCCCACAGCAAAGTCTATTAACAAAACTGCTTTTAGTTCCCACCTGGGAAATACAATTATTATTATTTATCAAACTTGTTCAGCTACGGAACAAACACTGAATTGATGGACCCAGATTAAAATTATCATTATAATTATATTATAAAAAAAGGGATTATTTTTTTCCCACTGGAATATCCTCAAAAGTTGCTCCGGTTAAAATCAAACAAATGAATTTGTATCACAGTGTATGGATTCAGACTCTGTAAAATTACTTCATGCAAAGGTTTCGTCACATCTTGACACATGTCATGTCTTGACACACGTCATGTCTTGACACACGTCACAAAGTCTAAATTAAATGTTACAGACATCTCTTCAATTTATATATTATTTATGTAGATGTAACAGCGCTTTGTTATTTAACTGATCAAGAGACCAGCAGCCAAAGGTTTGATAAATTCCTAAAAAAGGAAACTTGTATCTCTTTCTACATCTCTGACCATTGAATTATTCCTGGGGGCCCTTTAGCATACAAGACTGGAACAATGACATTCATACTAAAAAGTTTAAGTAAGAGTGAAAATTAAATATAAAATTCTTTGGTACTTAATCTTGTTCTACAGAAAAATAAAATGCATTATTCATTTTAAAAATAAAAATGATTGAGTAAAATTTTAATAAATGGACTAATCATGTAAGTAATTTGTCAATGCTTTATATCATCATGGGTTATGTCCCTTGGCTCATTTGTTTTACTAGCTTACAAATCGCTGATACTTGACTAGTAAATTACTTGGCAATATCTTAAGTAACAGATAATCTTTAAAAAAAAACAAAACAACATCTGTCATGTGGTGGAAAGCTGGGTTCTGGATTGTGTGAAATTTGCCATGACTATGTCACTTGTCAAAAAAGTATTGTCCCAAGAGGTTTGTGCCTCCAGTTATGGGTCTCAAGAGGTATATGTCTTCAGGTGCTTGTCTCAGGAATGTCAAAAGGTTACCCACTTCTTCCTTGTTCTATCAGACATCCATTATATGAGACATCCACTCTATCAGACATCAGTTGCTTCAGGCCTCACAAAGGAGGCCGTCTTCAGTGCCCAATGAGTTTTTATACCATGATGTTCTCACATGTAAGTATGTTGCAGTTGTTTGTTGCAGTTGTCTGTTGTAGTTGTATGCTGTTTGAGGAGTTTGGCCAATCTTGAAGGAGATGTTCAGTGTTACATTTTGCCTGACTTGTTGTTGAATTTATGGACGAGGTGATGGTCTGTGGTGATGACCGATCAAACGCTTGTTCACCCAGGAATCCTTGTAGTTTTTCCAGTATTCCTTGTTGTGATTTGGGTTCGTGGGTCAGGGAGTCAGTAAAATCATGGACTGGGTGTGTCAGTGACGAAGTAGATCAGGGAGTCCCTGTCACTAGGACAAATCCATCTGGTTCTGTTATTGCACTTTTTCCATGGTGAACCAGAAATTTAATTAACGTCAAATATAGCAGTTCGGACCAAGCTTACGCTGTAGGCGATCACCATCAAACAACATTACACAGCTCAATATCAAATAAATATTATTTAGATTTGGGGGGTTGGGGGGGTCTCCAGGTTTTAGGGGATTCACTTTAAACGTTCTTTAACAATTCATTCATTAACAAAATAAAATTCAAATCTTATTTTTTTTAAAATGATGAAATGCTAAAATATTGTCTGCTTGTGCAGTCTGGCACCTCTAATGTGTGTATGTGTGTGTGTAGCCTGGAAATTTTATTGTGTTTGTGTGTGCGTGTGGCCTGACACCTTTGAGTGTATGTGTGTGTGTAACCTGGGACCTTTAGAGTGTGCGTGTGACAGTGAAAATTCCCAGTACAAATCAAAAGTACACTTCCTCTTACAAAGAATAGAAGCTCAGTAAATTTTTTAATCGGCTGGTGCAAAAGGTCCCCCCCCCTCAATCCTGCAGTTAAAAACAAATATTTGGAGACTTGCCCCCTCGCCCCCCCATGACATGAATGCCAACAATGACAGATGTCAACAAAGAATAGAAGCTCAGTAAATTTTTTAATCCGCCGGTGCAAAAGGGCCCCCCCCCCCCTCAATCCTGCAGTTAAAAACAAATATTTGGAGACTTGCCCCCTCGCCCCCCCATGACATGAATGCCAACAATGACAGATGTCACAATGTCAAAAATTTGTAAAAAAACACAACAGACAATTGTGTTGGTTATGTGCCAATGTTGCATAGAACAATAGAGCTACAAAAAGAAAAACATCTGCATAACAAATCCTTCAATAGTTACAAAAAATTAATAATACCCAATAATAATAATTTGAACCTTCATTAAAATATACGTCATGCAGACAACCATTTTTAAAAAAAATTTGAACAAATGCATTTACACAAGTTCTCACTTAAATATTTGAACTTAAAATAAAGACTGTGGGGGTGGGGGACCACCCAATGCATCCACTGTTAAAGAGGATCTTAACGTGTGTGTAGATGTGCCATCCAAGGGGGGAGGGGGAGCAATGAGTCCATTGTGACCAAGTATCTTTAATGTGTGTAGACATGCCATCAAAGGGGACCGGGGCGATTTGGGGGGGGTTGGGTTGGGGGGTTATTCTAAAATTGTACCTGGTGACACCAATCCAACTTTAATGTTGCAATCACTGGATTCTTCACTGATTACTATCCCCCCCTCCCCCATCTCCAAACCAAACACCAAATGTTCTCCTTTCAAATTTTATTTGTAAAAACACGCCCTAGAAGAGTGTCGGTTCTAAGAGTGTTGGTTCTAAGAGTGTCGGTTCTAAGAATGTTGGTTCTAAGAGTGTTGGTTCTAAGAGTGTCGGTTCTAAGAGTGTCGGTTCTAAGAATGTTGGTTCTAAGAGTGTTGGTTCTAAGAGTGTTGGTTCTAAGAGTGTCGGTTCTAAGAGTGTTGGTTCTAAGAGTGTTGGTTCTAAGAGTGTTGGTTCTAAGAGTGTTGGCTCTAAGAGTGTTGGCACTAAGAGTGTTGGCTCTAAGAGTGTTGGTTCTAAGAGTGTCGGCTCTAAGAGTGTTGGTTCTAAGAGTGTCGGCTTTAAGAGTGTTGGTTCTAAGAGTGTTGGTTCTAAGAGTGTCGGTTCTAAGAGTGTCGGTTCTAAGAGTGTTGGTTCTAAGAGTGTTGGTTCTAAGAGTGTTGGTTCTAAGAGTGTTGGTTCTAAGAATGTTGGTTCTAAGAATGTTGGTTCTAAGAGAGTTTGTTCTAACAAACAAAAACAAACAATGCTCATGTCAAGTGCACTAAACATTTTTGTCAAGAAGGCAGAGGAGATCAGACATGTATATAGAGTGATAAAATTATCATACATTCTCAGGTTCTTCAATGACAGATACACTCAATGTACAAGTAAAAAAAAATGTGATGTCACATGATGATTGTGCCCCCCCTCCCCCCACCAACCCTGCTTTTCCCATTTGCAGCACCTTTCACCTAAATAACCATAAAACTCAAGGCTTGTGATGTAGCTATATATAATATATATAAATAAGCAAACTTCATGTATTGAATCAACTTAGTGTTATTACTATTATGACTTCAGAGGTTTTGGCCACACCCACAGGTTGTTCAGAGAAGCTCCCAAGTTAAAAGAAGGTTTTTTCATCATGTCAAATATACTTATGTACATCTATTGTTATAAATAACTTCTCTGTGGCTCTAAGTGTGTATATCTGTTGTACTACAACTTGTAGTTTTTTTGTTTTTTTTTTTACAAAATTCACTGGAGACACTAAAAACCAAAGAAATTTAAAACAAACTTTTAAAATCAACTAGTTAGATCAAGTGACAGAAAAATGTACTTTCCATGATGCAAATTTTAAAAAAATTTTTTTTTACAGGACATGGATAAACAATAGATAACAGTCGTAATAGATTGAATGAAAAAAAATAAAGACTTACCCTTTAAAGCAAGAGTAAGTCATTGACCATATTAGATGGCTGGAGACTACTTGACAACTAAACCTTAGGTAGCTGAACACAAACCATACAAAAGTTATGTTGGAAATAATTAAGTAAGTAAGAGTTATACATACACAATTGTAAAGAGATAAACTCAAACTAATTAAGTAACATGAAATGGTGTACAGAATTAAAAAGGAAACATTGCTTAAGATCAAAGACTATTCGATGCTGGGATATTGCATGTCTACATTCATTTCTTGAAATTTTTTAAAACAATTTCACAATTTAACTCTCGAACTGTGGCATGCATCATTCTGTGGTGTGGAGCTTTTCAGAGCTTTTTAAGTGCCTTTTGAAATTGCATTAAATGACATAGAAATATTGATAAAAGACCCCAATAATTATTTATTTTTAGAAAGGTAAATGAATGGGGATAAAGTTGGCTATATTGCCCACCCCGTAAAATTACTTTGTTCAGTGTCCTTGACCTTGGAGTGCTCAAGAAAATAAAAATCGACAAAATGTCTTGCTTTCAAGTGCTCATTACATCATTAATATTTATAGATACATTTAAAACACAATCTAAATGTTGTAGCCAATTCATTCATCTTTCAGAAAATGTATAGTTTGCTAAGGTTTTGATTAAAATTAAACCTCTGAAAGTAATTTTAGGTCATTTATATAAGAAACTGGGACCACAGCTAAAACCAAGTACAAAATACAAAATCTCAGGCAAAATAGTTATTGACTAGTAAACATTTAAAAAGGAACTGTGGAACTGATTTGGGTTGTTAAACTATAAAAAACTATAAAATGTATTAGTTCTGATCTATAATCTGTAGCTTCTGTGACTGAAATTCAGTCAGTCCTTGCCCAACCTCCGGGCCTGGCTCGAAGTCAAACAGTAGCCTCAGTACGCCTACTTCAGTATCACTAAGATTAGTAGCAGATTCACGAAAAGAAGAATCTGAAGTGAGATGTCATGGAGAATGTTAAAATCATCATCAGTATCGCTTAAATCCTCTCATAAAAAGCTTTAAAAAAAAATTATTTATATTAGTTCTCGCACTGAAGGCCATGGTCATAGCATCCGCCATTTTAGCTTTAAAAAAAAACAGCGATAAAAAATTCCGATTAAAAAGTACTTATTATTAAGTTATCAAGAAACAGCTTGACCATGAAGGTGATTTAATTATTTATTAAATATTGGATTGGAAGTTGCTATCGCACCATGTTTTTTAGTGGCCCATTTTTTTCGGCCGCCACAGCACAGAATGAGAATATCAGCCGATTTCGTCGGCCCGCCACAGTTCGAGGGTTAAACAAAAAGAAAAGAAAAACTATTAATAAAACTCAACACATCTAAAAATCAAATCAGGCAAATGTACAAATCAATTGAAATGTTACAAGTTGATCTGACATTAAATTGATGCAAGATGAACATATTTTGTAACATTATCCTTGCTTAGCCTAAACTGTAACAATTCTATTGAGAAATATTCACTGCCTGTAACTAGATATATATAACATAATGGAAAAGCAGATTGCTTTATCCCATACTGAGTAAAACATTAACTAGGTATTTATAAACAGCCCACAGTGTTGGTGCTCGTCTATGGAAGTGGGGAAACAAGTTAGGTACAGTTGGGAAGCATAAAAGGTTATATAAAGCTAATACTAAGAGAAAAAGAAATGCCTCTATTCTCTCAATGAGTTTGACTTCATGTGATAATTCCTCATTGGACAATACTAAGTCAATGAATTATTCACAGATGGTGTGTCCAGTAGTGTGTCTCTAGTGTAAACTGAAACTCTAAGAGAACTCCGGCCAGTGGTGTGCACTCAAGCCAGTGGTGTGCACTCAAGCCATTGGTGTGCACTCAAGCCAGTGGTGTGCACTCAAGCAGGGCTGGGGAATCCATTGTTTTTGGTTGAAGTTGTGAAAATTTCATTATAAAATTCTTCATTTATGAATGACATCATTGATAAGTATATGTTTATATGTTTATCAACACTGCAATTGACGGGTAAATTTGATTCAACATCATTGGACTTTGACCAGTACATTTTTATCAGGGTAACGACAAGTTGCTTGCAGCGAGGTCTTGGGAATTATTGAGCATTAACTATGATTAACACCAAATAAATTCCTTTTGTAAATTTTAAAATTCTTTATCATTTCAAGAGGCACATGCATGCATATATTTATAATATATATATATATATATATATATATATATATATATATATATAAATTATACAGCTCCACCCCATATCAAGTTAAAACAGGCATTCTCACCCGAGTATTGGTGTCAATATATGTTAGGGTTTATATATCACTATAAATTATAGACTAAATGGGCTCCATCAGACTGAGATTGTTGTCCCAGACAGAACAACATTAAAATACCGTTAAATTAGCACAAAGGACTTGCACTTAATTTAGTAAAAGTATTTTACTTTTTGTAAATAGATTGGTTAATTTAACATTTTAATCACTCACCAGTTATTGTAAAATTATTGTCATATAAATTAAATCGAACAAATTAAAATTTAAAAAAAAAATCCTTTACCACTTAATTTAATAGAATTATTTGAGTTTCCTAATCCTACATAAGAAAGGTCATAACTCCAGACTCCATAATATGACTTAACATTCTTTATTTTGTATGCAAGGTCAATAAAACTAAATTTTTAAAAATCGTAAAGTATACCTTTCTAAAACCCTGGCCAAATTTTTTTACATTTAAAAACAACTCAGTTTTAAAGATTATAATAATGATAAGATTAAAATTTACCAGTAGAAAACAACTCAGTTTTAAAGATTATAATAATGATAATATTAAGATTTACCAGTAACATTTAAGATATCATTAACGGATGCTTAGTTTGATTAAAACACTTGTCATAATGGAAAATAAATGGCCATTGATTAATCGGATTTAGGATCACAATATATTTATTTGCAACTTGTATGTTAATATCTCAACAACATCTGGCCTCAGTTTGATCTGCATAGCTCTTATTGCTGTGGACAACACTATTTGTTACCTGTGGATACATCTCATTGAACACGGCCAATCAGATCGAATGCAGAGAAAAAAATTTAAGCACTGGCTGCAGCTAACCTACTGTACAAATCGGTTATATTTTACAGTGGCATCACAGAGAATGTCTGAAGGTTAAAAAAACATGCTTCGACTGTTTGGCCGATTGGTTATCACTTTCATTGCACCCGTGAAGTCGGCAGACACAATGATCTCGCGCTCTTCTGTGTCATCATCCACCGACATCGGCTGACCTTTCTGTTCCAGATTTTGTTGCTCTGCCATGCGAAATATAAAGGATGGATTGGGTGCGAAAACTGCTGATGTCACAACCGCATTATGCACTGAAAGAAAATACAAACAACATAGGAGACATATAGGCAATGCTTTTGTTTCAATGAATCAGAAAAATGTGGTAATAATTTTTACTATTGAAACTCAGGAGGTAATTTATGTAATTTGAGAAGTATTAAAACATTTGGATTGAAGAAATCAAGTCCAGCAAGCCTGGAGTCTAATAATTTGTCAACATGATTGAATCTAAATCATAATAACATTCAGTTTATGTTCTTTACAAGGTGTTACATATTTCAGCAGCTTTGTGACTCCAATTTACAACATTCAGATAGATGTTTTCTATGACTCCAATTTACAACATTCAGATAGATGTTTTCTATGACTCCAATTTACAACATTCAGATAGATGTTTTCTATGACTCCAATTTACAACATTCAGATAGATGTTTTCTATGACTCCAATTTACAACATTCAGATAGATGTTTTCTATGACTCCAATTTACAACAATGTTCTCTATCTGTTATTTCAGGAAATGGAAGAATGATAACACAGAAAGACTTAGCACTGACATTTTTTAACAAAGATTCCAATGTACCTATAAAAACGTTTTAAAGGCCAACTTAAACTTTAATGACCTGGTCCTTTTCCACAACAGCCCTATCATTGGCTTTAATAACTCCTGTCCAAAGGATTTCATAAGGTGCTGCAACTTTTTAATTAAAGATGGATTTAAAGGAGTATCCCAATGGTGGCTAAAATCTGATTGCCTTATTATTAAGTTTGATCAAAGGTAAAGTACAGATGGTTACCGACCTCTGATTGCCTTATTATTCAGTTTGATCAAAGGTAAAGTACAGATGGTTACCGACCTCTGATTGCCTTATTATTAAGTTTGATCAAAGGTAAAGTACAGATGGTTACCGACCTTTGATTGCCTCCCAGTAATCATTACGGTCTCTCCTGGCAGATGTGAACTTGATGAACTCGTGGTTTGTCTTCCAGACGTACAGGAAGTGATCCTCCGAGCCACAAACTACGTACTTCCCCGTGGGACTGCAAAAAATAAAACATTTTTTTTTTCAAAACTTTTCAAGCCTACTAAGATCAGTCACTGGATGTATTCAAATTTGGTCAGGTTCTGGGGGAGAGCACTCAGGGTGGTCAAACTAAACTAAATTCAACTGACCCAGATCTGTAAACAATTCAACGATACCTGAAGCTGGCCCTGATCTGACTGCTGTTGTTCATTCCGCCCTTGTACTTGCAGGACAAGGTCAAGTCACGGAGGTTATAAAGGCGGATCCTGGAGTCATTGGATGTGATTAAAATCTGTGTGAAAAAATCAAATGAGGTCAAAAGTCAAGGCCATGGAATCAATGCTCAAGTTGATTATTTTAAAACGTATTAACACCTGTTCAACATATCTCTTTGTATGCCCCGTGTTCAAAATGTATACTTATATGCCCCGTGTTCAAAATGTATACTTATATGCCCCGTGTTCAAAATGTATTCTTATATCTCATGATTATGTCTCTTTTGATAATATTTTTATGTACAGTGCGGTGAGCCCAGCCCTAGGCTGGGGTACCACGCTAGAAAAGCCCACTAATTATTATTTATTATTATCTACCATGTTCAACATAAATACTTATATTCCAGGCACCTTAGGGCGCCCCTATTCATCAAGGGACACAAGCATATGGTGACTTGTTTAGAACTGTATCTTAGAAAACATTTTCACCCTAGTTAGTCATATATTTGACATTTATTCTACTCTTAGTATCTTATAAAAAACATGGTTGAAAATAATATTAGCTAAATTTATAGGATCTTTGCGTTTCTTACCTTCTTTCCTTTGATAAGTAACATTTCTTGCCTTCTCTGCTCCTGATTAAGTCACATCTTACTTTTCTCCCCAAATCAAATTTCTTACTTCTCTTTCCCTGATTACATCACATTTCTTACCTTCTCTTCCCCTGGCATTGTCTCAATGCCTGTAATTTTTCTGCCTTTAGAATTTTTCCCCCGAGATGACCTCACATTCACCATAGTGTAGTATTTCAGTTGCTGGGCAACATAAGGAAGAAATATATACATGAGGAAATTAAACTAATAGTATCTGATGAACAAAGACAAATATGTATTTTTTTTAAACAAACAAGTTGATGAAATGTCATTACAGATACTATAAAAATGTACTGCTTGATTATATCTAAGCCCCTCAAAGGCCAATACATCCATTAAGTTTGATTAACATGTAGTGTGAGTCCTATTAGCCATATACAGCTTTCGACTACTTTTACTTTACTTTGAGGATGTCAAATTGACAGACTCTTCAAAATATTTTTAGATTTGGAGATAGTTTACAGCCGCAGGCCATATTTTTCACCTGGCTTTTTCATCTCAATGCTTTATTTCTAAAAAAACATTTAAAATTAATTAGCATGTAAAAAGTATTAAAAAATTGTGCCCCTCGAACAGGACTATTTTACGGTATGTGGCTAATCCATATTGATGTGTTCCACAATGACTATTTCAGGGGAACAAAATTTTATCTTTTTCGCTTGTCATATGAAACAGAGCCAATAATCTGTTAGAACTGAACAAAAGTTCCTAGTTCTTTTAGTCTTTGAAATAAAATAGATCTGGCGGTTTCAAGAAGCTTGGACTGTTTCATGTGGTCAACTTATCTCTGATAAAAAAAACAACAAAAAAAACATTTTTATGTGGTTAATTTACCTCAGTGGTATAAAAAATACATTTTCCGTCATATGTTCCCACCACAGCCAACCTGCCATTGTGGCAAAAATTTGCGGTGGTGATGAGGTTGGAGCTGCCAGAGAGTTCATTCCAGAGGGTCACCTTCTTGTCGGGTATGTTCCAAAGCCTCAACTTGCCATCCAGCGACCCACTCAAAAAATACCGGTCATCCTGTAAAAAATGACCCCATTGTGTTTTTTTTTTAAATGTGGAAAGCTTATTCCTATGCACCAAAATAACACTTATAGATTTAAAAATCTAATTTCTGATGTTACTGTATTTGCAATGGATGCTCAAATATACAATTCAGGGATAACATCTTAAAACCAACTACGTGAGCGGTCCTCATTTTATTGGCATTCGAACCAAGAAATATTTTTCCACTTGAGGGAAAAAAGTTTGGATTCCCATTTCAGGCCCAGAAACAGTGAAGACATTATAAATTTGTGCACAAAACAAAGTATATAAAAAAAGGAAAAAAAAAAAAAAGCTGTTAAAAAGATCATTAAAACTAGAAAAACTTAAAAAAAAAATAAAAAAAAATATTTTTCCACTTGAGGGAAAAAAGTTTGGATTCCCATTTCAGGCCCAGAAACAGTGAAGACATTATAAATTTGTGCACAAAAAAAAGTATATAAAAAAAGGAAAAAAAAAAAAAAGCTGTTGAAAAAACTATTGAAGTTAGGAAAACTTGAAAAAAAAATCAAAAAGGAAAAATTTTTATTGATGAATTTAGGAAGATTGTGTTTATATTACTAATTTTCAGAGTAAAATTGATTTTAATCATTTCTATTCACTAAATTTAAATCCTTTTGATCACAATTGATTATATAATGACTTAATCAAATCTATCTCACATAAAATAATTTTCTTGCCAAATCATATCATGCAGAGATTGGACACAATTTTTCTAGCAATATAAGTATAATATATTATTAGACAGTAATTACAACTACCGTTACCTTCGGATGGAAAACAATTGCTGTCACAAAATCAATGTGCTGGAATGTACACAAACACTCTCGCCGAGATATGTGCCACAGCCGAACCGTTTTATCCATAGATGAAGAGAGGATGAAATAGTTCTAATGAAAGAAGATTAAGGATCTCTGGTAAAAATTAGCACTTTTTTGTATATAGATACAAGAAATAATCTCGAAGGAAAATCCATATTTAAAAGTTAAGGTGGTCCATGGGTCAAAAAATTTTTTTCTATGTTTCTTAATTTAAAAAAAAAAAAAATAGTACAAACAAACCATACACAAACAGAAAGCCAAAAAAACACAAAAGTTTATTTAAAAAAATTTTTTTTTGACTTTTATTGCAAAAAATTGAAAATTTTATACCAATTTTGACTTTCACGCAAAATGAATCAAACAATTTGTTTATTGCAATATCATAATGAAACTTTGCATACACATTAATAATAACATTGACAAAAAGTTTAAAGAAGCTTATTACACTGCAGTTATTGGAAGTGTTACAAATGGCATGTATTTGGGGTGACATAAATCTTCGAGAAATTTTTAGGGGTACCATATGTAAAAATGTTATAAAACTTTTCTAGTTGGATATATTTAAAAAAAGCCTCTTGTATTTTGTCAAGAATATCAATGAAAAGAAGCATGCAAAGTTTGAAGCCTGTAGCTAGAATACTGTTCCTCCTGATTCACTTGGCGTTCCTAAAAAATCTGGAAAACGCAAAATTGAGAAAAATGAAAAAGAAGTATAAAAATGTTTTTTTTTTAAATTACAGGCTGCATGAACGATATAGGATGCTTACATCATGTACATATACCTTTCATGAATTAAAAAACAATTTGAAAACATAGACAAAAAAGATAGAAAAAAAATTAACACACTTTTTCAAACGCGACCCCACGAATCTAATAAATAAAATATATAAATAAAAAATTCTGAAAAATTTTCGTATGAGACATTTGTTTAAAAACCATCCATCATTAAGTAAAGAATGTCAATATAAATAAGCATGCAAAGTTTCAATTATGTAGTTCCAAAACTATTCCTCCTGATTCAATTTACGTCAGAAAAAATTGAAAGTGCCAAGTCGATAAAAGCTGAAAAAGACACTGAAAAATGCTTATTAAAAAAATTAAAGGTTACTTGAACCATATTGGCTGCATACATCATGAACACATTCCACTGGTTAATTAAAAAAACAATGTAAGAACATAGATATAATAGAAAGAATATAAATGAATGCATTTTTCCAACAACCAACTAGTCTCGAGCCTAATAAAAATAATAAGATCATAAAAACTTCTGAATTTTGTTTATGAGATATGCAATAAAAAAACATCAATCATTATGTAGAGAATATCAATAGAAACAACCTTGCAAATTTTGAAGCATGTGGTAATAATACTTTTCCTCATAATACATCTGACGTCAGAGATAAATGGAAAATCCTAAGTGGAAATAACAAAAAAGTTGTAATAAGTTCATTAGGAAAAAATCCCAGGCCCTCTAAAAAATACAAAGGTTGCATTGGTTATATACATACACAATTCATACTAAAAGGGTTTTAAAAAAAAAACAGATACAAATTATATAAATTTTCCTCAAAGACAGCAAATGCAACCTCGGTGAAAAAAAAAAAATTAATAAAATTATGTAAAAAAAAAAGCTGGAAAAACAAACTGTGGACATTTTTTAAAAAAAGCCACATGTCTTTATGTAGATAGTATCAATGTAAATAAGCATATAAAGTTTGTATCATGTAGCTCTTAAACTTTTGACCCTATTTCATCCCACGTCCTTTAAAAAAATGGAAAGCGCAAAATAAAATAATATGAAACAGCTTATTCAAAAACTCACTTTTAAAAAGATAGGTTCTAGATTTACCTGTTGATGAATGAAATAATTAGATGTGCCATATATAAGATTAGAATGTAATTTCTAAAATGCTGTAGAAATAAACATTGGAAATTTCAAATTATATATTCACACCTTTAGGCGCTAAATTTTTTATCTTATAAATTATTAAAATATGCATAAAAGGTTATAGTCTTATAGTGTATGGCATCCATTCTGTATTGTCCCTCTCATAGTTATAAACTTCTTTAGGGTGTAGGGTACTTCAGGATTCTTGAGTAGACCGCAGACATGGCATTATATTTTAGTTCTCATTGACAAAGAATGGCAGTCAGAATCTTTGTATTAGATGTGTTGTAGCAGAACGCATCTGGGCTGACGTAATTATGGTTATTGAAAAATAGACCATGAACATAATGCAAGTCTTTTGATACTTGTTTGGCTGTATTCTTATCCTATAGCCAATGTTCTTTTGTTTGTGTAAAGTCCAATACTGATCATGTAACCCAGTGCAGGTCTGACTTGCATAATTGAAGCAATGTTGTAATGTTATCAGCGTGAGCAGTGATACCCGTAGAAATTAAATGCATGTTCAAATGTTCACATACAACAGATGTGTTGTGATGTGTGACAATTAGGGGCTCTTTGAATAGAATATATCATGAGACCATGTTCAGGAAAGGCAGCTGCAGGCATTACTCTTCGAGATGAAAATGGAATCCTCGAAGTCGAAGGGACGGAGAAATCTTGACTGCTCTTCGATAGTACCATCATTTACTTTCCAGTCTTTAGGTTCAAGGAGATGCCAACAGATAATCTAGAGATGATAAAAAATAGAATGCCTATAATAATGATTTATAGAAATAGAAAGTAAAAATTCTAGGATTTTATTCCAAGTCAATATGATTCAAAATAATTTTTAAACTTTCAAACGGTCCGATAGTCATATTCATATCATAAATAAAATTCATTTAAAAATATTTAGGCAGACAAAATAAAATTGCACTATCCAGAGATGCTAATTAATATATTTTATTAGGATTAATTTTTAAAACAATATATTTAAAGTTTACTGTGGGCACGTGCAGAGGACTACGTTTCGTTTAGTTAGAACTAGAGTGAGAGATAATTCTATCGCAGCATGGCACTAGTGCGATAAAATATAAAAAAGAATAATAATGTTAAATAATTAGTGGAATTTTTCATAAAAATGCTCAAATCAACTTACCATCAATTTGGTAGGGTACGTAAATCCACAAAAGTGCTAAATATTTGATTTCTTGTGTCGGTTTTGAGTCCATCGATTAAAATTAGCGATAATAGGTTCATTGAAAAATAACATCATATTTTCAGACCTAAAGCGGAAGTAGAATTGGAATATGGGAAGAAAACATTCAATCCTGTTCAAATTTTAATATATTTGACCAATGAGATTCGTAGGAAAGAGGAAAGGTCAAGGGGTCAATGCCTCGACCAATCATAGAGTTTAAAATTCGTTTAGAAACTACGGAATAGCTTCGCCGGTATTATTTTGCCATTTTTTATTACGGAATCACCGCGTTCCCGCTGCGTTTTTCTTTCGATCGATACCAAATATGTATATGTAGCGCTGTACGAACTGCATGTAACTAAGGGCTAAAAAGACAAACTTTGGCTTCGCCCGTTTTATTTTCCTGAAAATGTAGTCTTACCATGCAACTTTTAAATACTTATTTAACACATTTAAAATATATTTTAAAAAAAACCCTTTACAGAAAAGTATACATAAGAGGTTAATCTAGCAGAAAACACCGTAATCTCATTTTGGAAAAAAATAACCAAAATATCAATTTTTTCACCCGTGGACCACCTTAACAACAAATTTGAAATTAAATAAAATTATACGGAATTTAAAAATAAAATTCATCATGAGCTTTCTCTGAGACATGCTGATTTAAGTTGTGAGGTCAAGCCCACCTTAGACCAGGACAGGTCCAAGAGGTCAGCCGTGTGACCCTTGTAAACACAAAATGGTTTCCGCCGAAAGGGTGCACTGATTTCATCATCCTCAGACTGCTTGTTGAGTTCTTTCTATTTGTGCAAAAAAAATGAACACATGAGCAAATGTTAGCTATGAAAATAATAGACTTCATCAATTAATGTTAACATAAAATATTTGTAACAATAAGCTCATGGCGTCCAATCCTATCAATGTTTCACAATCACTGTTACATGGTGACTAGAGAAATGTACCAGGACAAATGAGATGTCTGTATAATTTATCTGTCTACAGTACTATGACGTTGTGATTATAAAGTGTTCTGATGCCAAAATAAAAAGAATGGGAGGCAGTGAAATGAAAGTCAAATTAGTTCTCTAAATTTATCTTCATTTTTTTTTCAACTCTAAAAAGAAAAGTTTGTGTAGCAATAGAAAAAATTTTCCAAACCAGGGGATCCATGGCTGCTGCCGACAGGTCAGATGAAGAGGCAGAGTTCAAACTGTCGTGTGACACAGCTGGTGAGAGTCGAACTAGTTGGGACAGAAAAAACATTAAATGTCAATTATGAATGCCATTTTAACTTTTTTGTTTGTTCTTTTTCTTTGTTTATAAACTTTTAATTTGAATAGAAATATAGAAAATAAAATTCAGTTAGCTTGTTAGACTTACCATCAGAATATTTCTGTCTGAAGTCTTCAAAGTAGCTGTAAGTGGACTTAAGCACCCAGATCCTTAGTATGCTGTCTTGACCACCAGTGGCCTGGAATAAAGAATCATTCAACTTATGATAATCCTTCAGCTAAAAATATATAAAGATAAGTAAAGCTATGTAAAGATACACAGTCAGTTGGAAAAAAAAATAAAGATTATCTGTTCGCTTCGTTCTAAAAGCATAGACTGATGATATTTTATGCTTAAGAATGATTTTCAAGAGTAAAATCTGGTATGACCAGTTTTATAAAACACGAAAGACCAGCATTTCACAAGATACACACAGCCCAAACAAATGTTTGTGTTTGTTAAGCTTCTGAAATATTTACACCCACTACACTAGAGCTGGAGGCAACCCACAATCCCTCTAGCAGGTGGGCTGTTGCAAACAGTCTGGAGTGGGGCAGGTCAAGGTCATCCGGTCCTCCACTCCATCCCAATAAGTTGTTCCAACACCTAGATGATGGGTGAGCCCCTGAGGCATTTTGTATCTAAGTGTGCCACTTCCTATGCCAGGACACCTTACTGTGAAGCAGCTGATAGCCATTTATGTTATAATCCAAACAGCGTGGAGGAAACTAAAGGTCCATGCAGATATTTATGATTCATCTGCTGAGGCTGTCAACTGATTTATTTGTTACATTTTTACCATAAAGAGATGGGAAATCATATTTATGAAAATATTCCCTTTATTCCTTTCTTTTTTCTTCTATGACATTTACAATTTTTTTCTTTTGCAAAGTAAATACTTACCAAAAGCTTACCACAGGGTGAAAACTTCATGGTCCAAATAGCACCCTGTGAAAGAAAAGATCAAAAGTTTTAAATTAAGTAGAAGACCAATTTACAGAACCATCAGTAGACATGCAATTAGATTATAATATAATAATATAATCATCTTCGTCAAGCCATTGCTTTTTATTTTAAAAATTTTTTTTTTTTTTTAAATGCTAAACCCAAATAGCACTCACGGAATGTTCCCCGCTCATTTCCTGTAGTATGCTAGGCTGGGAGAAGTCATAGGGACCTTTGTTCTTGCTAGAAGACTTTATCTGAGGACAGACAAGAACAACATTTATAGTAAAATAAATAACTTAGTTGGCTTGTTTCTGAATGCCCTTCTCCAAGTAAAAATTAAAATATCAATTTCTGGACAAAAAGATGTGTTATTCCCTTGTGCGTCAGAATAATTTGCCAACTTGATCATGACGAGAAGCAAGGAAAATTTAATTTATTGAATTCTAGATTCCATGTAAAATTTTCTTTTTTTAAAAAGGTAACCCAGTCCAGTGGTTCATAACCCGTGCAAAGCTGAGCCTTAAGGACTCCAGCTGCACTACTCACAGGCTCCAAAGCCGCTATAGGAAACTGCTTAACACTTTAAATTTGTAAGACATAGGGCAGCCCTAAGGGGCTTGACCAAAGAAATAAATTCTTAAAAGGGCTCCGCAGGTCAAAAAGGTTGGGAACCTGTTGTTCGTCAGTTGGGAGTTGACCATGACCACTTTAATCATCAGAGTTTGTGCTGGTTCTGCCTGTGGGTGTACAGATGGCTAATGAGGCCGATTCTGGCACGAAATTCTCTTGTGCAGTAGGTGCAAGGGAAAGATGGCGCATCTACGGGAGCAGAGTCAGACCGGGCCTTCCTGGCATGTCTCTTGCGCTCTGCAGCCACTGTTCTGCCAACTTCATGTTGCATGGAGTCCCTGTGCAAAGTGTAACGCCGTGAAGTTCGATCCTTTGCTTGTTCCTCCCACGTGTCTGGGTTTCAGTGTGGCTTTTCTGTTGTCTTTAAAGCGTTTTTTCTGTCAGCCAGCAGACCATTTTCCTTGTTCAAGCTCACCATAGAAAATTCTTTTCGGCAGACGGTCATCTGACATCCTCACAACATGTCCCGCCCAGCGAAGCTGGGACTTCATCAAGATTGTGAAGATGCTGGGGAGACCTGCCCGTATGAGCATCTCAGTGTCTGGGACCCTGTCCTGCCATTTAATGTTGAGGATTTTTATGAGTCTTGTTGTATGACAGTGGTTCAGCATTCTTGCATGGCATTGGTAGACTGTCCACGTTTCACGGGCATAGAGAAGCATAGGGAGAACAGCCCCCTGATATACTTTCAGTTTAGTTTGAGTGTTGATACCTCTCCTGGTCCATACATTCTTTCTTGGCTGGGAATCACTGACCTAGTCAATGAATGTCTAAGAAACTTCAGTACTTAATAAACTATCAGAATACGTCTGAGGACACCGATCCACCCATCGTTAAAAAGTTTAGGACCCCTGTATTAGAATATTCAAATCAAGGTAAACCACAAACATTTTTAAAAAAATTTACTTTTTAATTAATAAAATCTCAAGTACAGCCACTTGTATTCTTCAATTATATCAAGTTGTTACACAAAGGGGTGTGACGGATATATGTGAAATCATATGAGTCAGAGGGAAGAGATGAAACAACACATATTTCAACCAAAGCCATACCAACCTTAAACACTTTCCCATCCACAGAAACTTCCTCCTCAATAGGTGGATCACTATGCAGGGCTGGCAATAAAAAAAAACAATTTATCAACTTGGCGAGCCAAAGAAATTTTTGCAACAACTTATTTACGTTTACGATCAAAGAGATTGTGTCTTAAAGAAAACTTATGAGCAGGGGAAACCGCTTTTTGTGTGTCCTATAGAATATTTATATTCAAAGGGGAACAACTCATTGCACTCCTTACCTGAGTCTGCCATAGACTTGACTTTATTTACAGTTCTACCGAAAAATTTCTTCATTTTCATTCTGTGGAAAAAAAATTAAAAAATAAAGAAGACGATCAAAACCTGCAGCTTTAGTGTGGACATATTACTTCACATAATATGACCTGCTCTTATCATCTAGCCCCCAAATTATTTCCAGCCAACACTTTTTTTTCAGGTTGCTCCATATGAAAACTGCCTGTTGCATTGAACACTTTTTCAGATTCTTTATTATTCATTCTTATAATGCCATCTAAAAGACACCCAAATGTATCATATATATTTTTCAAGCCAACACTGCAAGTATCGAAAAAAAAAAAAAAAATTAATTTAAATGAAGCATCCAACTTTCCCCACTCACCCTTTCCTTCTCACTGTGTTACTGGATGATGCAGCACTTTTCTCAGACCTTGAATCAGATTCGTCACTCAGTCCATCTATGTGTAGACTTGTGTCACTAATTATTACAAAAATCAAAAGTGCTTGCAAAATTTTAAAAAAATTTCACTTGAGGCCATGCTTTTTTTTTCTTCTAGTGTCCTAACTCCTTATTTGGTAAATTTGTCAAAACCTGCTCATCAGAAAGGGGTTAAAAATTCTGGACATGTATGTCCAGATGGGTATGTACATAGTTAACGCATTTGCTCATTATTTGGTTCTGGCTGTCACTGCTTTCTCTTTGATTTACTTAATAGAAAGTATATTATGGGGCAAGTGGCAAGGAGCAGGGTCATGGCCACCCCAGCTGGGAGCAACAGGAGACTGGTGTTTCGGTCAGATTGCATGATTTTTTGTCTGTGTCTGTTTTGATGTTAAGTGAGCGATCGTGTTTTTTTTGTTCTCCCCCGTATACCCCACAAGTTTTTCTCAGTCACGTATGACCATGGTGGTGTGTCTGTAAAAACCATGCGAGGAGTGTGTGAACGTACTGTTGTGTGGAGTGGACAGTGACGAGTGCTGTTGATGGAGTGTGATTTTAGTTTTTGTAGAGCGTGAAATTTGCTGTGGACGGAAGAGGACTTAGAACATTTTCACTAGGAGTTGTGCAACTATATTTTGTTTTAGTGAGTATGTTTAGGATTTCTGGACACGTCTGTTTTATTCTGAACACCAGAGATTATTTCTGATGCATTTTTTCCCCTGTCACGCATATGAAGCCAATACGTCATAAGAAACCTGACACCTGTCACAGTTTGCTGTGTCATCTGAAACATCCAACACATCAGCTCTGTAGGGGCTAGAAAGCAAGGGGCTCTGGTCACTTAAAAATTGTGCTGAGGCTATAATGCAGGGGACCGACCTCTAGACAAACGTACTATTCGTCACACCAGGGCTTTGTAAATCTATGCTGTATACATTTAAATAATAAATATGTTTCAGATAATTTTAACATAAGTTGCTATTCCATTTGAGAGATTGACATGGGATCCTGTTCATATAAGTAGATATCTTTCTGGGGTGTACTTATAGAGCAAATACCTACATCCCCACTTCACTTAAAATTAAATTGTACTGCTGGTCAAAAACATACCTGCTGTATTCCTTAGTTCGCTTCATAATATGTAAGGCAAGGGGGTTAACACACTTCGGTAGTTTATCTTCTGCTGTGCTCAGTGGGATGGTCTCCCCTGTATCAAGGTTTCTCACTGTGACTAATTCAAGAATTTCCTGTAGGATTATATTCAGCATATTAATATATTAATGTGCCATGAATAAAAATGGTATACTTAAGAGTTGCACTTGCATGCAATGCAGATTTTAAGTAGTGTTTGTAAAAGAGGATTTCTTTCTTACTTTAGACACGGATATAAATTAAATATTTTAATTTATATAATGAGCCAAAACTTTAAAAAAATTATTTCCTTGTAAAAAATTCTTAAACCATTAGAGCATTTTAATAATAATTTTATATAAAGCAAACCCGATATTAATTATCATAACAGCAAGCAAACTCACCTCATCAGTCAGTGGCCGACCTGACTTTGACCTGGGCCTGCGATTTGGGCTCGCCTCTCTGCCTCCCTCCCCCAAGCTTTGCCAGTGTTGAATTTGAACAGACAGTGAGTCGAGATTTGAATCCTGCGCCTCCATCAAAATAGACCCTCCGGTTGCACCCATGGACCTGGGGCTGCTGCCCCCACTGCCAGAAGCAGCAGATGGAATGTTGGCATCGAAATGGTGGGATTTGATGCTTCCACTTCTCACGTTGCTAGTCACCTGATCCGACTCCTATGAAAAAAATATTGAACAAGTCTTAATCGTTAAGTTAATGTGGGGTAGAGTTTTATGCTTCTCACAGTTGATTAAGACATGCAACAGCAAAAGTCTTGACAGGGATGTTAAAAGTTGAACAAAATGATTAAGACATGCAACAGCAAAAGTCTTGACAGGGATGTTAAAAGTTGAACAAAATGATACAAAATTTAATAATATGATATAATTTACAGAAATAGCAGAAACCTAAAGAAATACCCTGACAATTAGAAGCATGAATGAAAAAATTGGCTTTTAAAAATAAACCATTTAATAAATAACTATGTAAATTAAAGACACCAAGCTTGGGGCCTTGCATTTGCTGACAGAATATGGATGTTTAATATCATTCAGATAAGCTTGGAAAATGGGGCTTTTATAATTATTTTTGAGTGTGTAATACTCACTACTTGTGGTCTCTGTGCATGCTCAATTTCTGAGGTACTCATTCTCTGTGGTCTATGTGCATGCTCAATTTCTGAGGTACTCATTCTCTGTGTTCTATGTGCATGCTCAATTTCTGAGGTACTCACTCTCTGAGGTCTCTGTGCATACTCAGTCTCTGAGGTGCTCACTCTCTGCGTGCTTTGTGGATGTTCATTGTCTGAGTAACTCATGCTCTGTGCTCTCTGTGCATGCTCATGATCATTCTCTAAGGTACTCACACTGGCACTGATGTGTCTGCTGCCCTCCAGCAACGTCTTCACATCTAATGAGTTTTCTCTGAACTTTGAGCCCAGCTTGGGAGATGGCGGCTCGCCTCTGAGAAACATGGGCGAGGGCAGGTCCTGTGGGGTGAATGATGTAACCGGATATTCGGGGTTTGGGGTGACTGGGGACTCTGTTGTTTGAGACTGTAAGGAGAGAAATTTGTTTATTCTGCTATATTTGTCTAAAACATGGCCACATACAGGTGTCCATTTTAGGTACTCATTTAGTTGTCTCGATAGAGATACACCAAGTTTATCCTAATGGTTGTTAATGAATCTTGTTGGTATCATTTAGATATATTACGCAAAGAAAGTTACTCACACATAGATACAAACTATTGTTACTTGTAATGGAAATATAAGAGAGTTGACGTAACATAAGATAAACGGTCGCCTCTGTTGTGTTCAGACATGGCCTCATGGACAATGAGATGCTACAAAGGTAGATTTTTGTAGGAATATTAAAATATAAACCTTAAAAACAGCCTTTAAACATTTATTTCAGCTGACATGTGAGTCTAGAGTGGTTCTTTTCATCTTCATTTTTTTTATTTGGTGGGGGGGGGGGTGTAATTAAGTTTAGAGGGGTGGGGGTGCTTTTTGCTATAAAGTAACACATGTTCTACACTCACTAGAGTCTTGGGCTTTTTCTTTCTTGGCGGAGCCACTGGAGGTCTGATGGGGTGAGGAGGAGTCCTAGACTTGGTGCTCTGCACAATATCAGGCACTGAATTCTGCTGGACTTGTGTCAGCTGGAGAATGGTGTCCACAACATTGTCTGTGCCCAAGTCCACACCCCCTTTACTGCCACTTATCAACAGGGTGAGACTTTTATTTTGTTTCTCTTTCTCTGGCTGAAACCTGAGACACAAAGGTATTGAGTTGGGGGAAAGTGGGGTGGGAATAATACATTTGCATCAAGTTCTAAAAACAAAAGACAAACGCTAATCTTATTCTGACGACAACCTCTGCTCATAACCCCTGCTGTGTTACCTGTTTACTTTTCGCTCTACCATTCATCTGAAGTTACAAACTCATTAGTATATCAAACCTAATCAATCTTACACTATGAATTATGTCAAGCCTTGGTTTTTTGCAAACTTTTAAGGCAGAAGTTTGTCATCTGCAATAATAAAAGTTAACAGTACATTATGACATAGCAGCCCTCGCCTTGTCCATAACATGTCTCGCAGACTAGGGACAAGTAATTGTAATGGTTGCATACACTGCTAAGAATGGCGGGAATCAAGTGTAACAACCATGACTGGGTCAAAATGCTTTTCAAGATGTAGTGACTGGCATGATTGAAATCACCCCTGACCAGTAGGGTAAAACAGTCTCACTTCTTTGATAACAGCCTGGGACATTTTAAGGTACGAATCCACTATAGGAAACTGGGAGCACTGAACATGAAAATCTTCCCATCATTCTCCTACAGGTTGGGTTTTACCCCGTCGTAAGATATTTCTACTAGTGTACTCCATGCTGGCTCTACTGCTGGCTGATCCAACAGCCCGGGTTTTGTATACCAAGCTACCCCATAAGATACTTCACTGGTGTACTCTTGGCATTCTGGCTCTGCTGCTGACTCATCCAACAGCCCAGGATTTTGTCTTCCAAGCATAAGCTCATCCTTTACTCAAGAAGGGATAGCTGAATAGCAGCTCTGGTTGTTTTAACCTTACTCTTACATTAAACTGCTTGTTTTTGCCTCCACTGAACACACATTGTTTTAATTTAGAAGATACCTACAGCATTCAATATCCAGAGACTTTGTTCATCTACCTGTGGCTTGAACAGAATCTAGGCCTCAAATGTGTCAATGACACATACGTTAACACAGGCAGTCATATAACATAGGATAAAACACAACACATCATCAGTAGTGGGATACTGCATGGAAACAATGAGGAGCTCTAACTTTCTTTTTCATAAGCATGTCATGTGACACTCCATTGGTCCTGTCATTGTCCCCCTTCTCTCCTCTTTTATCTCACTCTCACATGAAGCAATTGTCTCCCTTCTCTCGTTTATCTCACATGGCAGTAATTGTCTCCCTTATCTTATGTTTATATCATCTGCCAGTAATGCTTCCCCCCCCCCCCCCCCCCCCCCCCCCTTTATAGAAAAGAAAGACAAACCTCTCCATGTTCTGATCCATATCATTTAACTTCTCCTCTCGACTGCCAGAGCCACTGCTTGTCAGCCTAGTTTTCTCTCTGCCAAGTGAGCTTCCTAAGACAGCAGCAACAGGTTCGGACTCTGCTGCATTTTCCAATGCACAAACTCCGCTCTCTGGACTTTTTCTTTGCACCTTCTCTACAAATGCAGGCTCAGAGGAAAATCTGTTCTCACCCCTGCTGGCCACCGTCAGCTCAGATTCATTCTTTGGGAGATCGCCCCATGATCCTGACCGCTTCTTGGCATGTTGACGGCAGGTGGCATTCTGAACACAGTTGTTTTCCATCTTTTCAATTGTTCGTGATTTGGGGGCGGAGACTGGACGAGATCCAGATAAGGCAAAGAGGTCTGGAATGTCTGCAGAATTGTTTGGTGAATCATTCTCTATTGATGAATCAATGGAGGTTGAAAAGAAGGAGCGATCTTCTACCAAGGACTGACGCATCTCTTCAAGTTTTCTGATTCTCACGTCATGTTCTGAATGGTTCAATTCTTGTTCCTGGTATTGAACAAAAAAATAGTAGCTACAAATTTTTAAAGCAAATCTTTTAAAGAATTTCCATATAATGGGAGTGAAATAATATCACATAATTTTAAATGTATCCAAATAATTTTATACAATCAATAATTCTTTGTCCCAGATAAAAAGCTAAATTAAGACTTTGGCTTATTGTACACTAATCCACATCAATATTTTCTTATCACTGTGTCAAGAATTAACTACCTGGTTTTTTCCCTCTGATCTTTTCTGCTGTTGGAGTTGCAAGAGACGGCGTTCTAACTCCTCATCTTCCTTTTTTCGCCTGGAGAAAATAAACACATAAGAAAATAAAATGTATAATTTTTGAATCAGCGATATTTAAAATAGTTTTGGGCTTTGTTTGATAAAATTGTTAGGGTGGCGTCAAGTTCAATTTGTAAATGTCTGACTTAAAATTTTCAACAATAATTTTGTTAGTAAGAATTTAAAAAAAATAATTATACCAAATCCTGGAATATTAAACTCCATCTTCAGCAGCTACCCAAAATTTGTAAGGAAGAAATTTGTTTGAAGGAAAATTGTTATATGGAAGTTTGTTTGAGCTGAATCTTCATGATCTCAAAGACATCCTAAGACATTTCATAGTACTGCTTTGGTATTTAAAAAATGAAAATATAATTTAGTGTAAAATTACCTCTCTTCCGCTCTTCTTTTTAACTGCAGAAGCCGCCTTTCTTCCTCTTCAATATCTGACAGCTTTAGAGGAGAGAAATATTGAAGATAAAACACTGAATAACACAAGACATCTATAACAAAGGTCTTATGGGTTAGGCTGCCAATTCATTTTCAAAGTTTCACTCTTCTCAACAAGGAAATGGAAAATAAAAATGAGCTATTTCTTTTCTTCATAATGAGCACTATTATTTTAAATTAAAGTATTCTTTAACACCCTTTAACAAGAAACAAATATGGATTTAATATGTTTGTAAAAAAGTGGCAATCCATATCACTAACAGTGACCAGCCTAAATATTTCATAATTTTACTAATGAGCCTTTACTTACTGTCACAACTTTTGGAGATATACTCTCATTTCTAGATCTGCATGAAAAAAACAAACAAAAAAAAAAAAGATTAAATACCCTAATGTTAAATTTAGAAATCTAAAAATCTATTTATATTATTATAATCTTTGTCTATTGTCATGGCAACAAAGATAGCAGAAATGTCAAAAAATGATTGCTTAAACACTGTAAATAGTGGGAGTCAGGTTGCATAAATTTACAGTGTTACTAAGTTACCTACAATACTTACATTATTAGCATAAAGTCTAGTTAAGAGTTTCATTTTAGACCTATACTTTTTATTTAGGCCTGATGGATAATTAAATGCCAATTTTCATGGCATTAAAAATGTAATTAAAAAAAAAAGGTTGAGAACCCAATTGGTTTTAGAATCCCAGTTCTGCAAAGTGGTAATGTTACTACCAGTCCTAAGCCATCTCAATGATAATTAATAATATGATAAAAACTTATCATAATTAAACTTGCGTCAAATAAAAATGTTAATAATGAATGAAAAAAAGTTAAAACTCAACACATTAAAAAAAATGTTAAGTTAAAAATTAGCAAAGATCATGCAAATTTAATTTAAAATTCTTTTTCGCAAAAAATCTTCAAATCTAAAATCTACAACTCTTACAAACCTGAATGCTAAGTCAGTATACCTAACTCAAATGTAAATTTACCCCTAAATTTAGTACCCCTAAAGTTAGCATTGGATAATGAAAATGTCTACAGAGCAGAAGAGAAATGGTATTCAGTGGACACTATGGAAACAGCTTGATGACCTGGATTTTGCGGATGATCTGGCCCTAGTATCACACACACAGCAACAGATGCAAGAGAAAACCAATTATGTAGCACAGTACTCTGCTTGCATCGGCCTGAACATCCACAGAGGAAAAAGCAAAGTCCTTAAAATAAATACATCAAGCAACACACCTATAGCACTGGAAGGAACAAACCTTGAGGAGGTGGATAGCTTTACATACCTCGGCAGCATCATTGACATACAAGGAGGGACAGACGCCGACATAAGAGTGAGAGTTGGTAAGGCAAGAGCGGCATTTAACCAGCTAAAAAAGGTCTGGAGCTGCAGCAATTTGACCCTCCAGACCAAGGTCAAGGTATTCAACACCACAGTGAAACCTGTCTTGCTATATGGGGCAGAAACATGGCGAACAACAGCAGCTGGTTCAAAAAAGCTACAGACCTTTATCAACTCATGTCTCCGAACGATTTTACGAATCCGCTGGCCCACCGTCATCACCAACGAGGATCTCTGGCGGCGCACACAACAAGAACCAGTGGAAGAGTTAATCTGCCAGCGCAGATGGAGATGGATTGGCCACACCCTCAGAAAGCCCGCATCAAGTATCACGAGACAAGCCCTGACTTGGAACCCCCAGGGTAAGAGAAAAAGAGGTCGACCCAAAACAACTTGGAGAAGGGAACTGGAGGCAGACATCAAAAAGAGTGGGCACAACTGGGAACAGTTGGAGAGACTTGCCCAAGACCGGGATGCCTGGAGAGCCTTTGTTTGTGGCCTATGCCCCAGACGGGACGACAGGCGATGATGATGATGATGAAAGTTAGCATGCTGTAAATATTCAAATCTAAAATCTATGGCCTAACGTAAACCTAAAAACCATGTGTTTGTGTGCTACAGTGTGGAGCAGTGTTATAAATAATTTACAATAATGAAAACCCAAATTACAATTTCATATAATACACTTTTACACACTTTCTTTCAGTTTCAACCAAAAAGAAAATCCAAAAGTTGTCAGAAAATCTTTACAATACCATAAATACTTTACTATATCCATTTTCCCAAATGCTAGAAAAATGAAATACAATTAACCACCCAATGAAATTATAATTTAAAACATTCCATCTTACTAAAGAAAAGTTAACTCTAGTAACAATCCAAGAATAAACAAAAGGGAGAGAATCCTATTTCCAACAAAGAAACTCAAAGTGGCACGGTTTGTGAAAATTGAACAAAAATTATATTCCATTAAGGTATTAATGTCAAAAAAAGGAATCGTTAACTCTAGTAACAATCTGAGTATTCTGAGACTAAACAATGGGAGCTCACTCATATACAGAAACACGGGGTGAGCCATAAAGCATAAATTAAAATTGACCTAGCGAAAAGTAAAAGTCTTAGTCAGGCCTGCATAACATACCGCAGGCCAGCATCCACTTTTAATTTTTAACTAACTTATTTTCTTAATATTAATAACTTCCTCCTGTCATATTTTCTTTTGGTCCGCACAGGTCTCTAGCTTCCTCAGCGACTGATGCCAGGCAGTAGTGGTAGATGGCAAAACCTCCTCCTTTGTCGGTGTTAAGTCAGGGGTGCCCCAGGGCTCAGTGCTAGGCCCTTGTTTGTTCCTAGCATATATCAATGATCTGCCCGAGAAGCTGACCTCTCAAGCAAGACTGTTCGCAGACGACACGGCGGTATATAGGACAATGGTCAACAGCTCTGACCAGAGCCAGCTTCAACAAGACCTCAATCGGTTAGCTGAGTGGGAGATGAGCTGGGACATGGAATTTCATCCCGTCAAGTGCCAAACCCTGTCAGTCTCCAGAAGCAGGTTCCCTCTAAACCACTCTTACGAACTGCATGGCCATATTCTTGAGCCAGTTTCCTCCGTTAAGTACTTGGGTGTTACCATCCAAAGAGAGGTCCGCTGGGACGAGCACATTAACAGTGTGTGCAACCGGGCAAACAAGACCCTGGGGTTCCTAAGGCGCAATCTGAAGATCGGCAACTCAAGCGTGAAAGAAAAAGCCTATAAAGCCTTTGTCCGACCTATTTTAGAGTATGCTTCTACAGTCTGGGACCCATTTACCCAGAAAAGCATCGACAGGTTGGAGGCGGTCCAGCGACGGGCAGCACGCTTTGTCATGAACCATCCAGGCTCACCATGTTTTACAAGATAACAAATGGGCTGGTGCACTGCTCCGGAATCAAACAGAAACTCGTTAATCTTCCCCCCAGACTGCGACGAAGTCACGACAAACAGTTCCGGCTGGTAAAAACAAGAACAAAGTACAGAAGCTCCTCATTCCTGCCGAAGACAATAGGGGACTGGAACAAGCTTCCAAAAGCAACAGTTGAGGCGGCTACACTCGATACATTTGTGTCTATTGCCTCCTGTATTCCAACCCCCAGTTCATAACACCACTGCTGAGTCGCCCTTGCAACCAGTGAAGTATCCCATTGAAACCCATGGACAGTAACATCGCAAACCCCTCTGAAACATAGGAGCCAGAATGATCAATTCTCATTGATCGTGGGCCCTTAAAATAAAGAAGAAGAAGAAGAAGACAAGTTTTTCATAAAGTATTACGGCCCTCCTGGTTTAAGTAATAAGATAACACTACGCTAAACCTAAACTCAAATCTAGCCTAAGACTAAGACTTAGGACAAGACCAAATAAATAATTATAATAGTAAATTAACTTTAAATTTTAAATTGAAAAAGTTTTCAATCAATTAATTGATAATATGACATTGAAATGATGTTAATTATAATTGTTGAACTTTGAGACATTGAATAATAATAATTGTGATTGACTCATTGACAATTAATAGATTAAATTGTCAACAAAATATCGATTCAGAGCCTTCAAATAATAAATTTATTAAAAATAAAAATAGTCAACAATGAACAATGTCAACAAAAACAAAACTCAAAACTCACATGGAGGGTGTCTCGTCAGCTGCATCATAAAATTCCTCAGGATCACTGCTCGTAGACATGGTAATGGTAATTCCAGTAATATTTTAATTCATTTGATTTTTTTTTTTTTTATGTGCGGGAAGAGAATATAACTATTTATCTTCAAAACACAGACATTTGTTGATATTGGAAGCCATTTTGAAATTTATTATCAGTAGAGTTTTTCCCCTTTATAAGCCAAATTTAATAAACTATTAAATATATGTTTAATTAAATGAATTAAGGCACTCTGCTAAAAATAAAAATCGTTTAGTTGTACAAATTTTAATTGTAATTTTTTAAAAATCTGGTACAAAATTATTTTAAATGTGATTTATTTCATTATTGTAATTTTTTGTTTTAATTTAGAATAAAACGTGTTAGAAAGGCAGCAATTGAAACTGCATCATCGATAAACCTTCCAGATTTATTCCACAAGATCTGCTAATAGAGTTTTGTTAATTATAACCAATAAACAATTTCCTTCGAAAAATTTATGCTAAACTTTTATTATTCTAATTAAAAAAAATAAGTTTTAAAAAATGGCACACAATTACGGTGAAAGACTCAATGAGCATTAAAATATTTTTAATAAAAGGAGTGAAAGAGAATTATTTACACGCACACACACATACACGCACAAAACCGACAGAAAGTACATGTAATATTTGACAGATGATAAAACGCAAAGGGATAAGCGGATACGTTTTTTTTTTTATTTTTTAAGTGTCACGAAATAAAAGGGGGGGGGGGGGAAAAGAAAGTTGTATCCTAACTATCGGTTTTTGATTTGGGAGAATAAGGGGGAAGCCCAAGCTAAACCTGAACTCAAATCTAGCCTAAGACTTAAGACCTAATAGAAATAATAGTAAATTAACTTTAAATTTAAAATTTTAAATTAATTGATAATGATGACATTGAAATGATGTTAATTTTAATTGTTGAAATTCGAACACCACTCAGACAGTAGTGTAGGAAAAATAATTAGCACTGGGGAATTTTAAAAACCGAAAATAGCAGTTTAACTAATGATAAATACTACTAAAAAATTTTTTTAACATTAGCCTACATAGTAACGTATCATTGTTGTTTATATGACAATTGTTTAAAACGACATTATTTTAAGTTTAGAAATATCTGTAAATGGACGTGGGTGGATTGGAATAAATTAGAAGTCTCGCGTTTTCTCATTACGTCCTATTTCAAATTCTAATTAGTAGGCCTACCCTGCGAAATAACATTTTTTTTAAAATAAAGAAAATGAATTGATTATGTAAAATTTTATAAAATGTAGTTAAAATCATAAGAGGGCATTAAGTAGCCATTTGTAGTGAACCTCTGCAAAAGCTTAGTTCTAAGTGAGTCGACGGTCGGTCCTACTGGTTCGGTTGATGTCGTGTCCTTATACCCCATTGAATTGACAACGCTATTTAAATTATTAATTTTTTTAGACTTTCACGACGTCCCCGTGAGCAAGCCATGGTATCGCAAGGCACACGTATGGAACCACTGAGTGTTGCTTAAAAAATAATCAGCTGGTAAAAAAAAAATCAAAATTACTAATTAAACAGCATTAATTGAATTGAATTTGTTAAGGCCTTTGAACTTAACATTAAGGGGGAGCAACCACCACAAAATGTCTTCCAGACGGCAGATAATACTAAAACTAAAAATTTTGAAGTACGTGGAAAAAAAAATATTTACACTTAACATTGATGTTGAGGCTCAAAGTTTTTAAACAATATTGCATTTTGTCATTGATTATCCGGATATTTCATTATACGGATACAGTTTTTCTTTCGTTTCATACGCACCGGTGTTTATTTCAGGCATCTCTCGGAGATAGTCACGTGATTCCCCGCATTTTTTCTCCCCTCCCCGCCCCCCCCCCCCCCCCCCCCCCCCCAACAATAAAGCAAAATAATATATTTTTTAAAAAATAGTCATCACAGGGTGGCTTTCGGAAGGTTCTTGTAGTCATCAAAATGTGACATTTGGCAGGTTATTGTAGTCATCAAATGTGACATTTGGAAGTTTCTTGTCTTTTGATGGCGCTATTTTTAGGCTTACCTCTACGCACAGCTGTTCTCAGCCTCCCCTCCCCACCCCCACTTTTAAGACGGGCTGTCTACCAACCAGGCAATAACTATAATTTTCATTTCTGTTAAAGTAAAGATGCAGTTGATTCCAATAATTGGGACGCTGCAGCTATGACACTGCCGATATTATGTTGATATGTTGTTGATTAATTACATGATAATTGTGAAATTGTAATGCTGTAGTTAATGACATTGCCGTTACTTGTTAAAATCAAGTAAGCAAGATCCATTCCGAGGAGATTATATTCCTTGATATTATACAAACCTGAGATATACCCAGCACCTAGATTTAGCATTCTAACTGAAGATATTCCTGATTTACTAACCTGAGATATAACCAGCTCATAGATTTAGTATTATACCTGACAATGTATGCCTATAACTTACGTTTTAATATTATTAGGTTTATATCTCAGCGTTATCTATACTTTATATTGAATTCTATAGCGTTTTTAAAAAAAAATATTTTTAACAGTTTTAATTTTTGAGCGAATTGCAGTTTGGTAGGGCAAGATCATGATTGCCCTCACCATAACGGGCGCTAAAAATACACCTTCTACATGATTGGTTTTAATTGTAATAATTTATTGATTCTTTCTCAATGTCAGGTGATAGATCAGAGTATTATTAATCCTTTTTGTTTTACCGGTACTCGTGGACCACTTGATCATTTTTTAATATACGTCTGCCCAGTGGCGTAGCCGTAGCTAGGCGGGTACGGGGGAGTGCGGACCGCATGGGGTGACGCCATGTCAGGGAGTGACACACAATTGAACATTTGCGTAATTACACTGCTCGGTCTAACAGAGCACACACTGCTCGGTCTAACAGAGCACACACTGCTCGGTCTAACAGAGCACACACTGCTCGGTCTAACAGAGCACACACTGCTCGGTCTAACAGAGCACACACTGCT